CTCCCCCCCCCCCCCCTCCGCCACCTCCTCTTCCTCCGTTTGCTTCCCATCCCTCCTTGACGTCCTTCCAAGGCTGCGAGGCGGATGGGATGCTCTTCTTTCCAACGAGATCCTTTTGGCTACAGGCACCATCCTCGTCGCCATCATCGCCCAGGTCCAAGTAACACACCAGAGCATCCACCTACTCCTCTAGTAACACACCAGAGCATGCTCCTACTCCTCTGTCCTGCCGTCTCCTGCTCATCCAGTGGCATCTCAGATCGAGCTGTTCGGATTTCTGGCCAAGAGGAAGCTGCTGCCTTCGGTCGTCACGCGCAAACTCACTGTAAGCTCCTCAAACCTCCTCCTCCAACCACTAACACCTGCTGCTGCTGCTGCTCCTCCTCCTCCTCCTCGTCGTCGTCATCCTCTAACTCTCACACAGCACATCTTTGCTGGTAGCACCATGCTCACTTGCTTCGCTCTTTTTCCCGTTGGGCAGAGCTGGGTGGGCAGGTTGGTCGTCGCCTCCTTCCTCTGCAGCTTCATCGTCGCCTTTTCTCTCATCGCCTACATCCCCGAGGAGGAGCTAGTCAGGCTCCCCAAATTCCTGCAGGCAAGGTTGAGCATGCGCGATGTGCGCGTGATGGCAGAGCAGGTGAGGATAGCAAGCATCCAGTCGATGGCGTGCAGGACGGGGAGGAGGGAGGAGCTCTGCCGTGGGACGCTGCTGTATTGCGCCATCACAGCGATAGTCATCTGCCTGCTATGGACTTCTCCTGCCAGCGTCATCACTTTGAGGTGAAGGAGGAGGAGGAGGAGGAGGAGGAGGAGGAAGGAGGACGAGGAAGGAGGATGAGAGGAGGATGCAAGAGGATCAGGGAGGGTTCAACGTTGATGTTGGTTGCTGCAGCTGCCTTTTTCTCGGCGATGGCCTTGCTGATCCTGTCGGGCGCCTGCTGGGCAGACCAGCAATCCTGCAGTATCGCGTGGGATGGTTTGGAAAGAAAAGTTATCCAGGTCTCCAGTGCCCCTCCCCGCTCGTCCGCCCTCGTCCTCGTCCTCGTCCTCGTCCTCGTCCCCCTGCCTCCTACCTCCTTCCTCCTCATCCTCCACCACCACCTCCTCCCCGTCCTCCTCCCTGTCCATCCCTTTCACCGCCCCCCCTTCTCTTCTCACTGACAGTCAGGCTCTCTGGCTTTCTTCCTATCCTCGCTTGCTGGGAGCTTCTTGTGGGGACGTCTCTTCCTTGCTGCCGGGCACTACGACCGGACCCTCTTTCAAGAAGAAGCCTTCCTCCGAGCTGCTGCTGTCTGCGCGCTAGTAGCAACAGTGGCAGAAGGGGTAAGGGAAGAGGATGAGGATGAGGAAAAGGGAGACGAAGAGAGGGGAAGAGAGGAGAACGGAGAGAGGACGGAGTGTTCCTGGGTGAAGGGGTTGAGGATCTGATGAAGCTCAAGACAAGGGAGAGACGGAGAATTGTGAGAGAGGAGCCGGATGCCGGGGAGGGGGCGTTGAAAGTTGCGAGGAGGCGGAAGAAGGGGAGGCGGAAGAAGAGGAGAGCAGGAGCAGTGCAAGTTGGGCTGAGATTGTTGCAGATATCCCCTCCGGAAGTGGACAACATCCTCATCCCACTCGCCACTCTCCTCACGAGCTACGGGCTACAAGCGTCAGGGTCGGTTCCCTTTCTATTTCACACTCTAGGGTAGGAGGAGAGAGCGGAGGCTACTGCTCTGTCTTGAACTGATCCTCCTGCAAGCCTTCCTTCTGCAGCATCTGACGCTGCCGCACTGTCAGCGTGTGGTAGCAGAGGAAGGAGGGGGGGAGGGAAGGAGGAGAAGAGGAGGATACGCATGAGAGCGGGGCGGTGAGAGGGGAGGGGGACGGCGAGTTACCTTAAGCTCTTCGCGATTCTCATAGGAATCGACGATCTTGTGCGCGTCAGCGACGATGAGATTCTCAATCAGAATCTGGAGGGGGAGGAGAGACGTCAGTAGGGGAGGAGGAGCAGAGGACCGAGCCAGGGAGAAGTGAGAGGAGGAGGAAGGAGGGAGAGGGGAGAGGAATGGGTGAGAATGTTTGGAGAGGGGGAAGTTGGGGGAGAAGAGGATGAGGAGAAGCAAGGGAGGAGACAGGAGAAGTGGAGGAGTAGGAAGAGGAGGTGGTGGTGGAGGAAGAGGGGTGGGAGGAGAGAGATGAGTCGGAGTGAGAGAAAAAGGAGGAGGATGAGGTTGAAGGGAGGAAGAGGGAGAGAGGAGGAACGGTGAACCTTGGCGATGAAGAGGAGATGCTCGAGGATGGCAACAGCCCAGAGGCGGTCGACGAGGGTCATGTTGGCGTGATAGAAGTAGACGGAATGAGCAGTAAGACCCACCAGGCAGGAGTTGGTCACGATCGAGAGCGTCCCGAACAAGCTGAGGACCGACTGAAGCAAACCTCAGCTCCCCGAGAGATGGAAAGGAGGAGGGGATGAGGGGAAGGAAGGACGTTGGAGGGAAGGGGGAACGAAATGAGATGCAGTAGGCGAGGAGGAGAAGAGCACAGAGAGGATGGACCAGGGGGAAGCAAGGAAGAAGGCTGGAGCAGAAGAGAGATAAGTGACCTGCCAACTGCCGATGTCTGCCGCGCACTGATAGGCGGGGCGCTGGTAGGAGAGAAGGAGATCTTGAGCATGGCTGCGAAGGAAGATGAGGTTTAAGGGTAGCGCCGTGACAGCAGCCATGGGAAAGAGCGTGCCAAACATGGCGATGAAGCCAAACTGCAGGAGGAGCAAGAAGGTGTGAGAGAGACGTAGAGGTAGAGGCGGAGGAGAGGAGAAGACAAGGAAGTAGAGAAGGAGAAAACGTGGGAAAGAAGGGGAGGACGAGAAAAGTTAGCCAGACCCTTCTCCTCCATGGCTCTCCTCTTACCTGCATCACGACAGTCTCGTAGAGGAACGTCACTGGCTTTGACTTGCCCAGCTCCAGCTGCGAGCACGTCAGCACCCACGGCAGCAGGCAGTGCGAGCTGACTCGACCTGCTCCTCCATGGGCAACTTCACCACCTTAACCTTCGCCGCCTTCCTCAACGAGGCATTGTTGACATGATCGATCCAGAGACGCTTGACGACGGGGAAAACCTGCCAGGTCGTCATTCCTCCACCTCCCCATTCTCCCCTCTCCTCCTCTCCTTTCTATTTTCCTCTCCTCTTGTCGCACCTTCTCCTCGACTATTCGAAAGGCTGTCATGGACACGAAGGTGGTGGTGAAAATCCCCTGAGCCACTGGCATGCACTGCCACTGCAAAGTGGCGTCAGAGTCATCCCCTCCTCCTTCTCCTCCTCCTCCTCCTCCTCCTCCTCCTCCTTCATCTCTTCCTTCATCTCTTCCTCCCCCCCGCCTTCATCCTCCTCCCCTCCCCCTCCTCTTTTTCTTCCTCTTCCTCTTCTGTCCCTTACCTGCGGGCATCTGAAGGCGGCAAGGACGGACTTGCTGAAGAGGAAGGAGGGCAGACGGTTAGCCGCGAATGCGACAAAACAGATGCCGAAGTAATTGTTCACGACTTTGAACACCTGCCCCCGACCCAGTCATGCCTCCACCTTCCTGCCTGATACCTTCCTCTTCCTCTTCCTCCTCTTCCTCCTCCTCGTCCTCGTCCTCGTCCTCCTCCACCACCACCTCCTCTTCCTCAACCTCCTCCTCCTCCACCTCCTCTTCCTGCAACCCCCCCCCCCCTCCTCCTCCTCTATCACCCCTGCCGCCGCCGCCGCCTTCTCCACCTCCTACTCCTCACCGCAGTTCTCAGGATAGCTGCATCCTCTCGCTCGACCTCTGTCCGCCAGTTCTCAGCTTGCATTCTCCACGTGAGGAAGCGGTCGAAGACTCGGTTCAGAACTTCTCCCACGACAGAGAATCCGATCCCGCAGACAATCTGAGGGGAGAAGAGGAGGGAGAGAGAGAGAGTCAGACAGAAAGACAGAAGAATGTCAGGAGGAGAAGAAGGGCAGAGAAACAAACACGAAAGACATAACTGACAGAGAGACAGAAGGAGCGAGCAAGCGAGCAAGAGAGAGAGAGAGAGAGACAGAAGAGAGAAGGAAAAGTGGGATGACAAAGGAAGGAGTAGAAGCAGAAGGAGGAAGAAGAAGAAAGGTGGAGGAAGAGGAGAAGGGAAGAGATGGAGCAGGAGCAGGAGCAGGAGCAGGTGCAGGAAAAACGTTCACTCACAGCTCCAACGGTTGTATGGCCTGGCTTCATCAATGGACGACAGAAGAAGTAAACAGCGATCGCCATCGCCATCGACACCACGCAGAGAACTCCAATCAGCAGGAAAGTGACGAGGACCCTGCTCTGAAGTGTCACCGGCGGAGAATGAGGAGGAGAGGAGAAGGGGGAGGAGAGGAAGGAATGGGATGAAGAGGCAGGGAGAAGGAGAGAGGAAGAGGTGGAGATGAGGAAGAAGAACCGGTCTCACCTACTCTTTCTGCCACGGGGCGGGAATAAACTGCCCTCATCAAACCAGTACTCCTCCACCTGCAACGAGTGAGCTCAGCGCTCTGAAAACCCTCGCTTATCCTCCTTCGTCCATTCTACCCTCCTGCTCCTGCCCCTGCTCCTGCCGCTCCCGCTCCTGCTTCCCCTCTCTCTGGTTCGATCCCTCTTTCGCTCACCTCTCCTGTCAGGGGATTGACGTGCGTGTTTTTGACTGTTGACGGATGATTCTTGAACTCTGTCAACATCACCTGCGGCGTTCTTTTACTGCTCTTGCCTCCCCACTCGCTTCTCCCTACCTCCTGCTCTTCGAACTCAAGCGTGTCCCACTCATACCTCAACCTCGCCTCGAGCCTCCTCCACAGCTGCTCGTCATAGTCACCGATCATTCTAGCAAGAGAGCGAACGAGTGGGTGTGGACGAAGAGAGATAAGGGGGGAGAGGGGGAGGAAGGATGGGAGGAGAAGGGCGAGGGAGAGAAGAGTGCGAGGAGACGTGAAGAAGTCATCATTAAGAGAAACTGCAAGATTAGGTCTAACAGAGAGGGGGAGAAAGAAGAATGAAGGAGACTGAGGGAAGGGGAAGCAGACAGCGAGTGCGTTTGTGTTTCCTTGCCAAAGGCTGGAGGGGGGGAGTGCACATCGAAGGGACAGAAAGGGACCTGGCAGACGAGGATGGACCATATGGACATGCCGATAGCATACACGACGACATATGGATTGTCCCACGAGCCTGTGAGTCTGTGCGAGGCCATTTGCGAAAATGTCAAGGCTGTGCCGCAGAGGGCTGGAAGCCATTCCATGGAGATCATGTAGCCGTAGAAGGTGAAGAACAGAGCGACCTGAAGCATCTTCAGCATCTCTGTCCAACCGTTCCCTCCCCTCCCACTCCTTCCCTTCCTCCCATTCTCTTCTTTCTTCCTCCCCCTCCCTGCTTCTCCTCCTCCTCCTCCCTCCATTCTCTCTTCCATTCTCCTCCTCCACCAGACCTTCTCTCCGAAGTAGACCTTGATGTCTTCAATGGGCTGCAGCCATCTGTCAGCCTGCGCTGCTCCTCCCTCCCTCCTTCCCTTCCTTCCTACCTGAGGTGAACTCCAGCTACCCGCCCATTCAGCGACGAGCTTGTAGCGGGCTCGGTCGAAGTGCATGTAGAAGTATCCGATGATAACAGGACTATCTCCTTCCATGAGACTCTCGGGGTCGATCGCTCTGCTCCTGCTCATCATCCGTCAGCTCACCAGGACCATCATGCTTCTCCTCACGTCTGCGGCCCACTGCCATCGTCTATCGGCTCGCTGCGAATGATCCTGTCCGTGATTTCCAGCTGCTGCAAGCTGCTGAAGTGGCCGATCGCCTTGTCTGCGGGCTCGAGGAAGCGATCTTTGCCTTGCGGCCCCTCCACTAACTTCTTGCTGAACATGCACAACGCTCCTCCATGCTTGTCTTGCAGCCGGAGGCGGATGCCTCGAGCTTGGGCTTGCATTGCCATGAGGTGGTCGGGCGTGCTGACGTTGAGGAAGAGCTTGTCTCCTGCACGGTTGATCCTCTGCTCCACCTCAAGGTTCAGCTTCCGCAGCTTCTTCATCATGTCCTCCCGCTGCTCCTTGCTCTTCTCCAGCTCGCTCTCATCCAGGACTGAATCTTCATCGGGAAGGCTGAAGGCAATGCAGATCGAAGGAGGCGCCAGGAGAGCGGCTGCGAGCTCAGCCTCTCCATCCTCCTCCTTGTCATCGTCCTCATCATCCAGGCGCTTGTAGCGATTGCTCATCACTACATTCTTCCCCACCATCTCGATGGAAGAAGAGCGCTTTAGCGATGCTCGACAAGCGCTGATCAAGAACAAGCCGCCAGGAACATCACGTCCTCACTCGAGCATGAACGGTGAAGGAGGGAGCACCAGCATAGAGTCTGATCAGGGGAGGGATGCCGATAGTGCATTCCGATTCCCATACAGATTCCCATATAGATCGCGGTATGAGTGGGGAAGTGGGTCGTAGAGCCGGCCCGGGGTCGCCAGTGATATGCCAATGCCGGGTGACCAGTCACTGAGCCTTTTAGGCTGTGGGGGGATGAGGGAGGGGGCGTGGGGAGAAAAATGAAAGGGCTGGTCGGACGGGGGGGCATGGCGTGCTGGAGGATGAGAGGGGAGGCAGAGGAGCTGAGAAAGGCCAAGACACGTGAGATCAGCTCTCGAATGATGGCACATGCTCATCAGTGCCTGCGGGCTGAATCGTCTCACCCTCACCCTCCACGCGCATGCTCGTCTCTGCGAGGGAATCTGGCTGTACGAGAGTTCCATGCTGGGATGGCCGATGTCAGGGGCTGGAGATGGTCAACGGAGCATGCATGCAGGATAAGCTCTCTCTACTCAACCCGGGATCCTGCATGGAGGAGAAACGTCATCTCAAAACCTCCTGAGGAGAGCGAGGAAGTGAACTACCTGCGCGGGGTGCCGCAGGAGAACATTCGCAACTTCTCTATCATAGCTCACATTGATCACGGAAAGAGCACCCTCTCTGACCGCCTCCTGCAACTCACCAACACCAAACTATCCGAGCAGAGGGATCAGTACATGGACAAACTGCAGGTGGAGAGGGAAAGGGGCATCACTGTCAAAGCGCAATCTGCCAGTCTCTTTTACCAGCAGGACGGGAAGGACTACCTGCTCAACCTGATCGACACCCCGGGGCACGTGGACTTCTCCTACGAGGTCTCAAGGAGTCTGGCAGCTTGCGAGGGAGTCATCCTCCTCATAGATGCCAGCCAGGGGATCGAGGCTCAGACCCTCGCCAACCATGCGCTTGCTACCAAGAACGGCCTCAAGATCATCCCCTGCATGAACAAGATCGACCTTCCTCATGCTGACCCCGATCGGGTCGCTGCTCAAGTCCACGCAGCCCTGGGCTATGCCAAGGAGGAGATCCTACAAGTGTCAGGGAAGACTGGGGTGGGGGTCGAAGAGCTGCTAAGAGCAGTGATCGAGAGGATCCCTCCTCCTACGGGCTCCCTGCAGAACGGACTGCGCGCGCTGGTGTTCGACACGTGGTACGAGACGTTCAAGGGAGTCGTGTCGCTGATCCGGGTGATGGAGGGTCAGATTGCGCACGGGGAGAAGTTTCTCATGAAGTCTACTGACAAGACGTACGAGGTCCACGAGCTGGGAATCATGCATCCTGAAGCCACTCCCGTTACCCGCCTGCAGGCTGGTCAGGTCGGCTACATCCTGTGCAACATGAAGTCTCCAGCTGAAGCTCGGGTGGGCGACACAGTCTGCAGCGACGCGTCTGTGGAAGCGCTTAAGGGGTTCCAGCCGCCCGTGCCAATGGTGTTCGCCGGGATCTATCCGATCGACGCGAGCGACTTTGACGCGCTGAACAAGGCGATTTCGAAGCTGCTGCTCAACGACACATCGGTCAGCATCTTCAAGGAGAGCTCCAACGCTCTCGGGCTCGGGTTCCGGTGCGGATTCCTGGGCCTCCTCCACATGGATGTGTTCCGGCAGCGACTGGAGCAGGAGCACAACGCAGACATCATCATCACCAACCCGACGGTTCCGTTCCGAGTCCGCCTCAAGAAGAACCCGAAGGAGTTCGTCACCATCTCCAACCCGAGCGACTTCCCGGACCAGTCGCAGGTGATTGAGTTCGAAGAGCCCGTGGTGAAAGCCAGCTTGCTCATGCCTACCGAGGTTAACCGCTGACTTCACTTGCTGGCCTCGTGCTGACTGAGACTTTTCCTTCAGCACCTCGGGGGTGTCATGGAGCTCTGCACGTCGAGGAGAGCGAGGGATCTGGACATGGTGTACTTGGACTCCGGGCAGGTCCTGCTCAAGTGCATCCTTCCTCTCGGCGAGATCGTCATCGATTTCTACGACAAGATCAAGGGGATCTCAGCGGTACGAGGCAGCTGGGCGCAAGCAGAGACTTTGCGCTTTGACTGGCTGTCTGGCAGGGATACGCTAGCCTGGAGTATGAGCCCGCAGGGTTCCAGCAAGCTCAGATCAGTAAAGTCACGTTCCACCTCAACGGAAAGCCAGTGGATGCGTTGACCACCATCGTCCATCACACCAATGCAGAGCAGGTCTTGTATCATGGCAGCTCTTGATGATGCTCTTCCCCGTCCTGTCCCCTCTCCTCTTGTCTCCTTGTCTTGACCTGCTCTCGTGCCGCCACCTCATGGAAGAGTCTGCAGGTGGGACGCAGAGTTACAGAAAAGCTGAAGGAGGTGCTGGATAGGCAGCAGTTTGAAGTTGCGGTCCAAGCCATGGTGGGAGGGAGGGTGATCGCTAGAGAGACCATCAAGGCTGTGAGGAAGAACGTGCTCTCCAGGAGCGGCAAGGTCAGCCATTGCTCTCGTTCCGCTGCTACCTCATCCGCTCCTGGCAGACTGTTGGAGGTGGCGATGTGACGAGGAAGAAGAAGCTGCTCGAGAAGCAGAAGGAGGGGAAGAAGAAGATGAAGAGGATTGGTACTTGTACCTCGCTCCCTTCCTGTACTGACCTCTCTTCAGGCGACGTAGAGCTCAGCCAAGATGCGTTCTTGACAGTCATCGACAATTCTTGATCACATCAAATGAAGTTGGGCAAGTAAGTTCCGTCAAAGTCGGCAATTGCGTCGATGTCCATCTCCATATGAACATTCTCAAAGCTCGCCGCATTCCCTCTTATTCCCTTGCCTGCCCTCCTCGTCACTTTCAAGTCTTTGCATGTCTCCTTCACCTGTGTGCACTCGATGTCCTTCAGGGGGCAACCAAGTGTCCAGGAACAGTTTTCGTGTACGTATGTCAACAACCTCGTCCGCAAACCTTGAGGCCTCACTGCTGGTATTCCTATGACTGGGTTACACCAAGTGATGGTGTAGGGTACCCAGTACCGAAGGGAGGATGTTGTCATTGCCGACCATGGTCGAACTCTCGCCGTTTCTACTTCATTGTCATGACCGGGTTTCCGTCTCGTTGCAGTTTACCTTTCAGCGCGCTTCTTGCGGTGTCTTGTTTACTTGCCAAAGTCTTGAACACGCTGTCAGTTGCACAACCCAGTCTCACTTGCAGCTCCGAACCTTGTCCTTTGACATGTCGAGGCTCTTGGACTGAGAGACATGTCCGGGCAACAAGTCCGTCCATGAAAACGTTTTCTTGGCTTCAGACTTTGGTCGTGTGGGTAAGACAGAGATCAGGAGTCAGCAATCAAAGTACCTTCACCGACGCAAGGTTCTCTGCCACATTCAAGAATCGTGATATACTCGCGCTTGCCTGCGTCAGAGGCGAGGTGAGGCGGAGAAGAGAGGAGGAGGGAAAAGACCAGCCGATCTCTCCACCGCAAGGCTCTATCCAACTGCCCATGCATCATCTTGATGTGATCTTGCTCCAGTACGGCGAGCATGTCTACCAATCAATCATTCATTCATCATCATCATCATCATCATCATCATCATCATCATCATCATCATCATCATCGAAGGCACCAGCAACTTTCAATCGAAGGATCGTCGCTGTCTGAGATGCCACATAGCAGCTCTCTGTTGCTATCTGCGGCCACAGATTGAGAAGAGATTCACAGTTCGCACGAGGAGGCTCACGCGATCTCCTGCCGTCAGATCTCCGAGCACAGTTCCTTTGGAGCCCACAGCAACAGTTAGATTCACATCTTGGTGTTCTCTTCCTGGGATCTGATTCGAATACAGTCAGCACAGCCAGGACGAGCAAAGACAAACAGCAAGTCAAGTTCATGATATCAAGCTAAAAGTCGAGAGCATACCTTGCTCTTCGAGTCTTGCTTTGATAGAAATCTGAAGGAAGCGTATGCGGCCTTGCAATGATCAGGCAGGGTAACGCTGCGATGGATTGAGACCTTGAAAGAAGAACAGGGTGAATTGACAATCATGGACAAGGGTTATCTTACTTGTCCTTCCATAACTACAATCATATCCTCATCCACCTTCCCTTCTTTTCGAACACACGAGCCGTACATGAGCCGATCGAACCGAGCCTTGGGTATCAACGAGGCTAATGCACGTTTTCAATGAAATGAGCCGATCAAACACAAAAGCTCCTCACATAGAGCGTCTTCACTGATTCCACGGAATACTGGCGAGTCTTTGAGAACAAGGAGAGCATCAAGCAATATTTCTTCGTCAAAGTACTACAAATTTCATCTTTGTCATCGTCACGTTGAACACTGTGATAGGAACACCTGACTGCGCAGAACATGGCGCTTCGTTTTGGAACCTAAAACAGTTCCTTTCTTCCACGAGAATTTGTGAGACAGCCTCTATAGACAAAACTCAACTCAGCTCTCTCAATACAAACCATCCATGCATGATTGCATTGCTCGTATTGCCTAACCTTGGTGATGCCAGGTGGCGGGGAGTCGCCCGGAGAGGTTTGCGGTTGATCCTTGAGCTTCAAGCTGCGGTGAGATCGACTACGAGTAGCGAGAGCGTCGTGACGAGCCTTGCTCACATCCTTCCCTTGCAGCAGGGAGAGGAGGAACGGAGACGCACTCCTTGGGGGCTCTGAGGACATGTGAAGTGCCTAGACGTGTTGACAATAGCAAGTTCACATATCAACACGTCACGTCCGATAGAGCAACGAGACAGCAAACAGTCGAGATGTGAGCGCATCAGCAGAGAGCATACTTACAACACGACCCGCTCCTCGCCTCTTGCCTGCCCTTGTGCATGCGCGACCAACGGCTGATACATGGAAGGCCAGGGGTCCGGGGTTCGTTCACATGCAACTTGATGCTAATGTTCAGAAGGGGCCCCAAAACAGCCTTGATAACTTTAAATTAGAACCAAGCGTTTGGTGGAAGATTCAAACTTTGACGACAAACTCCGACAAGCTTCCTCACAGACAAAACTTGACCGACACACGACAAGAAAGAAGAGTCGAGAGAGAGGAGACAATACAAGACATGGCAGGAGAGTGTGGTGCATACAAATATTCCAGTGAGTGTTTATTGGAAAATCACGGTTAATCAAACAAACCAAGACAAGAAACCAGATATCATGTCTCAAGAAAAACACAATCGTACAGCTTTAGTCAACCTCCTCAATGTGAGGGCCACCACTGCTCTCCCCAGCTCCCGATGCGGCAGCTCCTTCGCCTCCCATGCCCATGCCTCCCGGCATTTGCCCTCCGGCCGAGTACAGCTTCGTCATGATCGGCATGGCCACCTGCTCAAGCGCCTTCTGCTTGGCCTCGTACTCCTCGGGTGCGGCGCCATGGTTGGCCTCGAGCCAAGAGATGGTCTCCTCGATCTTTGCAGTGAGCGACGACTTGTCCGACTCGTCGATTTTGCCGGCAACCTTGTCGTCATTGAGCGTGTTCTTGAGTGAGTAGGCGTAGTTCTCCAGCGCGTTGCGAGCCTCGACCTTCTTGCGCTGTCGCTCGTCTTCCTCCTTGAAGCGCTCCGCCTCCCGCACCATGCGCTCGATGTCGTCCTGGCTGAGGCGACCCTTGTCGTTGGTGATGGTGATCTTGTTCTGCTTGCCCGTGGACTTGTCCTGCGCCGAGACGTTCATGATGCCGTTGGCGTCGAGGTCGAAGGAGACTTCGATCTGAGGGACGCCGCGGGGGGCCGGCGGGATGCCGTCGAGCTGGAACTTGCCTAGCAGGTTGTTGTCTTTGGTCATCTGGCGCTCGCCCTCAAAGACCTGGATGAGCACGCCGGGCTGGTTGTCGGCGTAGGTGGAGAAGGTCTGCGACTTCTTGCAGGGGATGGTCGTGTTGCGCTCGATGAGCTTGGTCATGACGCCGCCTGCCGTCTCGATGCCGAGCGACAAGGGCGCAACGTCGAGCAGCAGCAGGTCCTGCGTCTTCTGCGAGTCCACGCCAGCAAGGATGGCAGCCTGGACGGCAGCACCGTAGGCGACGGCCTCGTCAGGGTTGATGCTCTTGTTCAGCTCCTTGCCATTGAAGAAGTCCTGCAGCAGCGACTGGACCTTGGGGATGCGGGTTGACCCGCCGACCAGCACGATCTCGTTGACCTGGCCCTTGGAGATCTTGGCGTCGCGCAGCACGCGGTCCACAGGGTCCATGGTCGCTCGGAAGAGGTCCGCGCAGAGCTCCTCGAACTTGGCACGCGTGATGTTGGTGTAGAAGTCGATGCCGTCATAGCACGAGTCCACCTCGATGGTCGTCTGCGCCGCCGACGACAGCGTGCGCTTGGCACGCTCGCACGCCGTGCGGATGCGCCTGAGGGCGCGGGCGTTGTCGGAGGGGTCCTTCTTGTGCTTGCGCTTAAACTCCTGCAGCACGTACTGCACGAGGCGGTTGTCGAAGTCCTCGCCTCCCAGGTGCGTGTCGCCTGCCGTCGCCTTCACCTCGAAGATCCCGTCGTCGATGGTCAGTAGCGACACATCGAAAGTGCCTCCGCCCAGGTCGTAGATGAGGATGTTGCGCTCGCCCGAGCCCTTCTTCTCCAGGCCGTAGGCGATGGCAGCTGCAGTCGGCTCGTTGATGATGCGCAGGACGTTGAGACCCGCAATCATGCCCGCGTCCTTGGTCGCCTGGCGCTGGGAGTCGTTGAAGTAGGCCGGCACCGTGATGACGGCATGCTTGACCTCCTTGCCGAGGTAGGCCTCGGCGGTCTCCTTCATCTTGGTGAGGACCATGGACGAGATCTCCTCGGGCGAGAAGGTCTTGGTCTGGCCCTTGTACTCGGCCTGGATGTGGGGCTTGCCGTCCTTGGGGACTACCTTGAAGGGGAAGTGCTTCAAGTCGTTCTGGAGGGCGGGGTCGTCCATCTTGCGGCCGATGAGGCGCTTGGCGTCGAAGATTGTGTTGTGAGGGTTCATGGCGGCCTGGTTTTTGGCGGCATCGCCGATGAGGCGCTCGCTGTCGGTGAAGGCAACCCAGGAGGGGGTCGTGCGGTTACCTTGGTCGTTTGCGATGATCTCGCAGCGCTCTTGCTGCCAGATGCCGACGCAGGAGTAGGTAGTGCCGAGGTCGATGCCAACGGCGGGTCCGTCGATCTTCTTGTTAGACATGGTAGTGGAAGAAAAGGAAGTGTAGGAAGAGAGAGAAGTCGGAGACAACGGTGCAAGGATGTAGAGTAGCGCGTGGGCGCCGAAAGCAAGGAAGTTTGTTGGGGGAGGAGGGGCAGGGCTCAGGGTTTTATAGGGGAGGGGTGGGGTCAGCAGAATGTTCTGCAGGTGCAGCCTGTCCCGGTGTACCGTGGTATTTCTCAAAATTTGTGAAAAATTTGTTCTGAAACTTCAAGCTATCTCAATTAATTTTCCTGATATCTTGAAATTTGATGGGTATTTTTGAGCCCTATGAACAATTTCAATTATCAAAACCTAAGAACATTCTACAAACGATTGTTCGATCGAAGGACCCGTCTGTTCTGCCTAAAAATACCAGCACCCACCCGAATCGAAAGAACATTCGAAACGGGGTGGGTGTGAAATAAAACCCTGATCGCTCCCCCGCTCCTCTCAACAAACTTGCAGGCACTCCTTGTACGCTAGTTCTCAACCAACACCTCCTCCTCCTCAGCACTTACTTGTCTCTCTTCCTACACTTCCTTCTCTTCCTCTACCATGTCTAACAAGAAGATCGACGGACCCGCCGTTGGCATCGACCTCGGCACTACCTACTCCTGCGTCGGCATCTGGCAGCAAGAGCGCTGCGAGATCATCGCAAACGACCAAGGTAACCGCACGACCCCCTCCTGGGTTGCCTTCACCGACAGCGAGCGCCTCATCGGCGATGCCGCCAAAAACCAGGCCGCCATGAACCCTCACAACACAATCTTCGACGCCAAGCGCCTCATCGGCCGCAAGATGGACGACCCCGCCCTCCAGAACGACTTGAAGCACTTCCCCTTCAAGGTAGTCCCCAAGGACGGCAAGCCCCACATCCAGGCCGAGTACAAGGGCCAGACCAAGACCTTCTCGCCCGAGGAGATCTCGTCCATGGTCCTCACCAAGATGAAGGAGACCGCCGAGGCCTACCTCGGCAAGGAGGTCAAGCATGCCGTCATCACGGTGCCGGCCTACTTCAACGACTCCCAGCGCCAGGCGACCAAGGACGCGGGCATGATTGCGGGTCTCAACGTCCTGCGCATCATCAACGAGCCGACTGCAGCTGCCATCGCCTACGGCCTGGAGAAGAAGGGCTCGGGCGAGCGCAACATCCTCATCTACGACCTGGGCGGAGGCACCTTCGATGTGTCGCTGCTGACCATCGACGACGGGATCTTCGAGGTGAAGGCGACGGCAGGCGACACGCACCTGGGAGGCGAGGACTTCGACAACCGCCTCGTGCAGTACGTGCTGCAGGAGTTTAAGCGCAAGCACAAGAAGGACCCCTCCGAAAACGCCCGCGCCCTCAGGCGCATCCGCACGGCGTGCGAGCGTGCCAAGCGCACGCTGTCGTCGGCGGCGCAGACGACCATCGAGGTGGACTCGTGCTATGACGGCATCGACTTCTACACCAACATCACGCGTGCCAAGTTCGAGGAGCTCTGCGCGGACCTCTTCCGAGCGACCATGGACCCTGTGGACCGCGTGCTGCGCGACGCCAAGATCTCCAAGGGCCAGGTGAACGAGATCGTGCTGGTCGGCGGGTCTACCCGCATCCCCAAGGTCCAGTCGCTGCTGCAGGACTTCTTCAACGGCAAGGAGCTAAACAAGAGCATCAACCCTGACGAGGCCGTCGCCTACGGTGCTGCCGTCCAGGCTGCCATCCTTGCTGGCGTGGACTCGCAGAAGACGCAGGACCTGCTGCTGCTCGACGTTGCGCCCTTGTCGCTCGGCATCGAGACGGCAGGCGGCGTCATGACCAAGCTCATAGAGCGCAACACGACCATCCCCTGCAAGAAGTCGCAGACCTTCTCCACCTACGCCGACAACCAGCCCGGCGTGCTCATCCAGGTCTTTGAGGGCGAGCGCCAGATGACCAAAGACAATAACTTGCTAGGCAAGTTCCAGCTCGACGGTATCCCGCCGGCCCCCCGCGGCGTCCCTCAGATCGAAGTCTCCTTCGACCTCGACGCCAACGGCATCATGAACGTCTCGGCGCAGGACAAGTCCACGGGCAAGCAGAACAAGATCACCATCACCAACGACAAGGGTCGCCTCAGCCAGGACGACATCGAGCGCATGGTGCGGGAGGCGGAGCGCTTCAAGGAGGAAGACGATCGACAGCGCAAGAAGGTCGAGGCTCGCAACGCGCTGGAGAACTACGCCTACTCACTCAAGAACACGCTCAATGACGACAAGGTTGCCGGCAAAATCGACGAGTCGGACAAGTCGTCGCTCACTGCAAAGATCGAGGAGACCATCTCTTGGCTCGAGGCCAACCATGGCGCCGCACCCGAGGAGTACGAGGCCAAGCAGAAGGCGCTTGAGCAGGTGGCCATGCCGATCATGACGAAGCTGTACTCGGCCGGAGGGCAGATGCCGGGAGGCATGGGCATGGGAGGCGAAGGAGCTGCCGCATCGGGAGCTGGGGAGAGCAGTGGCGCTGGTCCTCACATTGAGGAAGTAGATTAGTTGTGCGGTGATATGTATTGAAGTTGTATCAGTAGATGGAATGATATTTTATTGATGATGCACGAATAAACGTGAGTGATCTTTATATATTGAACTCTTTTACGATTTCTTCTGATTTCAAGCAAAACGTTCAATTTTGAATGCTTTAATGATTTATAATGATTCAACATTGTTCAATCAGCCTTTTGATGGTAACAGATCTTGAGAAGACTTACCTTCTTATTTTTTTGTTTCGACATGGAACTCATATCTCATCAGTATTTTTCCCCTATAATATTTCTTTGAAATGATACTCAACACACAATTTTGGTTTCACGCAGACGCTATGGTGTAACTACTGCCACTACATAAAACTCCACTACCTCCCCACAACGCACAAGTTAGTTACGCATGCGATTGCCAGTTCTGTTCGTTGAGCTCCGACTCATTTATCGCAGCTGATATTACCCTCCCTTTGATTCTTCACTGTCTTGAAATGTGCCTTTGATCTTTAGGCAAGGTAGCGATATCACTTCCTGTCTCAATCTTGTTCATCTTTAGTTCCTGAAATACTTTTTTTGAATTTCTTTTGGATATCACAATAGCAAGAATGTTGGTTGGGTCCAATTGAATCATACTGAACTCACTTCTTTAATCCTTGTTTTTGACATCCCACCTAACTTCTCCTACTTGTCTTCTATTGACTGTTACTCTCTACTTTTCGCTTCTCCTTTGATCTCCTCTCCTCTCTTCTCCTCTTCTGTCCTGTCCAGTCCTGCCCTGCCCTTCCCTGCCCTTCCCTACCCCTACCCCTCCACGTCTCGTCTCGTCATCGCACGTCAGCCCGCGACCCCCAGTTCGCCTCCCGCTCGCCCCCCGCTTTCGGTCAAATTTGAGATCTATAAATATATACGTCGGAACGACCTCTGTTTCAATGCGATCCGCCTGTTTACCACACGAAACCCCCTCTTAATGGCCTCCTTAAGGTTTCATAAGACTTTTTTTCGATATATTAAAAACATTTTATAGAAACCTCTTTTTAAACGAAGGCGCTAGGTTCCCGGGCATGGTATGCGCACAATCGACGATGGCAGGGCTCTCTGCCGCTCTGCGAAGGTTCAGCTCGATCGCCTCAAGAGTGGAGGTAGGAGACTAAAATGATCTTTGCTTTCCTGTGCGTTTGTTTGATATGTCAGCGTTCTTCTCAGCTGTTTCGTTCGACCTTGTGCTTTCCTTCTCTTCTTCCACTGCACTGAAACTCTGCTCCTGATAGCTGCTGACCGGTTGTGGTGCAGAGCCTTGGAGTGGCCTCTAAGACTGAGCAGGCAGCTGCGATGGCGAAGAAGTCAAGAAGAACAGTCCAGACAGAGAAAACATCTCCAGGGACGTTGAGGGTGGGATGCCCGGAGTGCGTGAAAGAGAAAGGCGAGCACGATTGTGAGCAGATCGTCACGTGGGACGAGCTCTTCAAGGTCGACCTCTTTTACCGCAAGTGAAGGCAGCCCAGCGAGTGTAAATAGACTGTGATATAGGAGGTATAGGGCGATGCGTCAAGAAACGGAATGATCGAACACCAACGAGTGTTTGCTCCATGCACCATGTCAACACTTTTGCCGTCAGTAGCCCCATGGAGGTAGAGACGTGACATCAATGTAGAGGAACCTCGACTCACGTCCAGACAGAAGGAATTGCAGGAGCGTTGTCAACAGAAGTCTTTTATTTGATGGCAAAACACAACAATGACACAACGGCTGTCCGCCCGTACCAAGTCGAGCAAGGGTTTCCTGCGTCCTTGGATATATAGATACATTAGCGCCTCCTGCAGATGTACTTCCCCTGAGACCGAAGCTCGAGCTCCTGCCGCTGGAGCATAACACTGATAGCCTGCACACAAACATCAGCCCACTCCTCCTCATCCCATCACCAGCTAACTCCTCACCTTTCGCACAGCTCCCTCCGACAGCCCTCGCTCCTTCAGCTCCCCCACGAGCGATCGCTCTGGCACAGACATGCCAATGCCAACCCGCTCCTTGATCGCCTTCTCGCTCTTGAGCACGTCAGCCATCACCGCTGGGCTCGTCATCCCCTCCATCATCAGCCCCTTGCTCGCCGCATCCTCGGTAGACTCCTTGAATAGCTGGACTGCTTCCTCCACATGGCGCTCCGTCGCTAGGGGAGATAAGGTCAGCTTTGCCAGCGACTCTGAGATGCGGATGATAGCCTCCAGCTGCCTGACTGTGATGGGGATCGCGGGGGCTCCTTCCGAGCTTTCCTGTGCGTACCGCTGCCTGATCCTGATGTACTCGTCCTGGAGGCGCTTGGCTGCTGACTCCGAGAGCCGAGGGGAGCACTTGGTGCGCGCGTAGCAGATGTACCTCCTCATGGTATTGAGATCGATCTCTCCTTCCACCTGCTGCACGCTGCTTCCACTGTGCAGGGACATCACGTGCCTTGCGATTCGCTGATCCCTCTCCTCATTCCTCGCGTCACGGATGATGAAGATCAAGTCGAAGCGAGACAAGATGGTGCTCTGAAAGTCGATGTTGTCCACGGCACTCCTCATATCGTCGTATCGTCCAAAGGTTGGGTTGGCTGCGGCCAGCACGGCCGTTCGGGTGTTGAGCATGGTGGTGATGCCAGCCTTTGCGATAGAGATCGTCTGCTGCTCCATGGCCTGGGGGATCAGAAGAGTCAGAAGGGTCGAGCTTCACAATCTTCCTCTTCGTACCTCGTGGATGGCGACTCGGTCCTCCGGCCTCATCTTGTCGAACTCGTCGATACACACGACCCCTCCATCGGCCAGCACCATCGCTCCTCCCTCCAGGTAGAACTCCCCAGAGTTTGCATCCTTCACTACCGACGCTGTCAGACCCGCTGCGCTGCTTCCCTTGCCGGAGGTGTAGACGGAGATCGGAGCAACCTTCTCAATGAACTTGAGCAGCTGAGACTTTGCCGTGGAAGGGTCTCCAAGCATGAGGACGTTGATGTCTCCCCTCAGCCTGCCGCCATCGGGCAGGAGCTTCCTGGAGCCACCGAACAGCTGGCAGCAAAGAGCTTTCTTGATATCCGCGTGCCCGAAGATTGAGGGGGCAATGCTCCCGCGCAGTTTCTCCACGAAGTCTGGGCTTGCTGCCATGCTGCGAAACTTGGACTCCTGCATAGCATGTCACAAGGAGTAAGCAGCAGCCTTTGGCATACCTCTTCCTGCGTGAAGTCCGATTCCGTCATTCTTCCTCCTACTCCGCTCACTTCCATGATTCCAAGAGCTCTCAGGTACGGCACTCGAACCGAGGAAGCACTACCACCAGCAGAGTCAGCGAGCAGCGCGACAGTCAGAGGGCTCGTTCGATTCTTACCTGGCTTGCCGGGGCTTCTGGTTCAGGATGGTGAAGATTCCCGCAGCAGATATGACGGCACCAGGAACCACTCGACCGACGAGGTGACGGTCGAGAGTCACCGTGATGTGTCGGGGCATCTCGCCCGTCGGCACTTGCTCCGGTAGCTCCTGGATCTTCAGGGTCTGCAGGTCTACATACTTGGAGCGGTCGGAGAGGACTTGGAAGGGATCTAGAGGACACTTCTGCTGCAAGTCTGCCCCGGGATTTCCCTCGCACGCCCTTGGAAAGCTGCAGCCATGCAGGCCAGGCTTGACCAACACGTTGACAAGCTTCTTGCAGCTCTTGCACTGCAGAGTGATCATCGTAGCCTTGACGCGGGGTTTGCTCGCTGATATCACGATGCCTTGAATGTGCACCAGCTTCGAGTAGTCCTTGGCAGCGAGGTCGCGCATTCCCACAGGGTTGCAGGTGCTTGTCACGATGACTTGAACGTCTGGTGGGGTGTCGCCCTCCTCCCGCCTACCCACAAGCATGGAAGCGTACACATCTCTCGCGGCCCTCTCAAAGATCGGCATGAGCTCTGCTGGCTTCTCCCGGAGAGCGTCGTTGAGCTTGGGGTTGAAGGTCATGAGATCGTCCAGGTTCACTTCCAGGCGGTACTCGTGCATGTTTGTGTTCTTCTTCAGCTGATCTCTGTAAGGGAACTCGTCCCCCACCTGGAACTGCCGGATGAAGTCTTGAAATTCGGCGACTCCGAAGGACCTGCTGTCCTCCGCCAGTCCTTGATCGCTCCATGTTACCCTCCCCTCGTCGAAGCCCGACATGCCGCCGTCGCTGTTTCCTTCCGCCACACCCAAATGGGGGTCCTTGAATCGAGCAGATCGGGGTGGGCATACTACCCCCCACCACTCTGCTACCATACAATCAGGGATATGGAGTTTTACCTAGGAAGACATATATAGAATCTGTGCTCAATAAGGTATGTGAAATAAAGATATCCCACCCCAATGTTGAAAGAATGGGTGGGGTAGTGGGTAGGGTAGTCACAGGGCTCCCGCCCTCTTTCCAAGAAAGGAAGGTGCCCGACGGGCGAACCGGCGCCGGCGGCGCAAAACAGTAGGCTGTCACAACTGACTCAGTAGTTATGCGGCGAAGTCGTCACCTAGCCTACTAAAAGAGAGATTCTTTACTCAAAGTGAAGTTAAAAATCAGTACGAGGACAATAATGAGAGTCAAGGAGGCTTGACCCTGACTAATAGTGGCACTGACTCTGTGAGTAGCCGCAAAGGCTAGTGAGCCTGAGTGAGTGGTAAGGCGGCTGCAAGGCCGCGTGCCGGGCGCTGGGCCCGGCCGCCAATCGGGTGACAGTCCGAACGTACTAGGCTAGCCTAGTAGGCTAGGTTCCCGGCCCGGGGCTGAGTGGCCGGCCGCCCGGCCGGCGTGCCACGGTGAACGGTCCGATCCGCCGACTCAGCGATCAGCGGCCGATACAGCAGCCGCCGCCCCGGCGGCCGGGCCGGTGGGCCGGTCACGCCGCCGCCCCGCGTCAGTCCGGCGTGTTCGGACTCGTGACGCCGGGTCCGACGGTCAGCGGCCGCGCCCCGCGGGCTGGCGCCGGGCCGGCGCCCAGGCCGGCCGGGGTGACGCCGGTCACGGCCAGTGCCCCGCCGCGCCGGCGGCCGGCCGGGCGGGGGTGACGCCGTGACTCAGTGGCCCCGCCGCACCGTGACTGCAGTACGGTCACAGTGACCCGAGTCACCGCCGGCCCGGCCCGGACAGACCGGGCCCGCCGGCGTCAACTTGGCATCCCGGCGGCGACTCCGCCCGGCGGGCCGTCACCGATAAGTTACCGAGTCACAACCGTTGAACGGTTCCAAAGTTCTGCGGCCGCTGAGTGCCTGCCAGTGCCAGCCGCTGCCCCGCCCGGTGACTGTGGCCGCGGGCGTGACTCCCGGAAACGGTTGAACTTCAGTTCAAGTTCGGAAGTTAGCCTCCGAGAAATCAGTCACGGTACGGACTCCGGACGGTCGGAGGACAATCATGGCCGGCATGGCAGGAGACTCTCGGCTGAGAGTCGAGGAGGCTTGACCCTGACACTGTCGCACTGGCCACACGGCGAGAAGAGAAAAGACCGTACAGCGAGAACCAAACTTCACCTAAATTGACAGTGACTCGGAGTCAGGCGGCCCGGGGCCCGGCCCGGGCGGCCGGCGGGGGACTCTTTCAAACTTCAATCAGGATTTCAATCAGCGCGCCGGATTTCAATAAGTTTTTGGAAGGGGCTGGCCCGACTCTTCCATTTTTGTGTGCGGCAAACACACTCCATGCTCCGGCAGCCCCCGTGCGGGGCGGGGGCAGCGGCAGCAGCTCAGATCTTGTCCTGCTCGTGCCTGTCTCCCTGCATACCTTCCATATTTCTCTCTCGTTTGGTTTCCCTGCCATCTGCAGCTTGATCTCTTTCTCTTTCTCTTCCTTCGAGCTTTGAATGCCCATAGCTCCCACACCACTCAACCTCTCCTCCCATTCATCGTTGTTGACTTCATTGTGCCCACAATTTACCCTCTTTGTGCTGTATTATCTGAGAATTTCACTCCCTCGCCTCTCCATACACAACAGCATGCGCACAACGACTGTCTTTGAATTCGTCTGCTCTCCCTTGTCCTTTGCGCCGCCGACTCCCTTTGCCCGCCTTTCACCTTTGTCCTATCGTCTCTACTGATTCGTTTCTTTACGTGTCTTCAACTTATTTTTCAACAGTTTCTCCCTCCACCCGCCTCCTGATACAATCTTTACGAGGACGCACCTGAGGCTCTACTGACTTTTTCTTCAGTCTTTGAATGTCGTAGAGGCTCTGATCAGCTCGCTGCTCCTTCATCGGACCGGCAATGAAATGCTCCTTCATGCGCTCCCTTGCTTGGCTGGCAGCAGCAGCAGCAGCAGCAGCAGCAGCAGCAGCAGCAACCTCGGCTCCTTCGGAAGGGTCCTCCCTCTCGACGAGGAGCGAGGCGGCAGGCAGCGTGGCTGGGGCTCGACCCAGGAGGAGGGGCGTTCCCCTAGCCCTCGTTGCCTGTGTCGACGGGACTGTGACGGCAGTCAAGGCTGACACGGGGTCCAAGGTTTGGTATGCCCTGTCACGTTGTGATGCCACGGCGCTGATAGCGAGCACTTCTGCAGGTCGCTGGACCTGGAGGGCCCGCTGCTGTCATCATGGCAGAACGAGAGTGTGTTCTTCGACGACGTCCTCATCCCTAACACCGACGGCTCCCTGTACCTCTTCTCCAAGAAGACGTCCAGGTGACTGCGCGACTGCCTCTCCTTGCCCCCTCACCTCGCTTCCTGTCCACAGGCTGCAGCGACTGCCTATCTCACTGCAGGACCTTGTTGAGAACTCCCCGTTCGTGGCCGACGACGGCTCCTTGTACGTGGCTCAGAAGCGCTCGCAGTTCTACATCGTCTCGCGGGACTCGGGGACCGTCCTCTCCGACGTGTCGGTCGATGAGAAGGAGGACGGGGACTTCTTGCGCAGCTTCCGGGAGGAGACCGCAGCTGGGAACCTGCTCGTGGGCCGCTACGAGTACTTTGTCAAGGCTGTGCATCCGCGCTCCAAGGAGGAGAGCTGGCGGGCCCGCCTGTCCTACTTTCCGACCGTCCGGCACCTCCAGGACAGTCTGCATGACCCCAACATGGATGTCTCGGGGATGGAAGACCCAGGGGCCTACTTCTACCATGAGGGCACGTTGTACGCTGTGGACATTATGACTGGTATGCTTGAGTGGTGGCAGCAGCTTCCTGCCCCTCCTATGGCTGTTCTTGTCATAGGAGCGAATGACGTGGCGGTCGAGAGATTCGTCTTCCCTGCCTCAGCCCCACTCAGGTGATATCCGGGCTGCTCCTGCTCCTGCTGCTCCTCCATCTGCTCCTCCTTCCTGCTCCTGATTCTGCGCTTTTTGCTCTTGTTGCTTCTGACCTCCAACTTTCAATGCACGGCGCTGACTGCCAGTTGTCTTCAGCTCCAACGTCGATCTGTGGAAGAGCCGCATGCTGGTCGGGGAAGACCTCCAATACATACAGCTCCATGGCTCGCAGCTGTTTGCTGTCAACGGAGTCTTGCAACCGGCCGACAGGTTGATCTCGACACCCGCAGGCTCGGCAGAGGACGAGGACGAGGAAGCGAGGAAGAGGATGAGCTGGTGGAGCTGGATGGGGCAGCAGAACCGGAGGAGGATCGAGCAGAAGATTGCGCAGCTTGAAGGGAGTCCGGGGGCCACGTCGACGTCCCATCTGGAGGAGGACTTGAGGCTGCAGGACAAGTGTATCCTCAGCGAGTCGAACTTCCCTTCCTGCATGGAAGGTCTCCATCCCCTCTCGACCCCTCTCAAGGCTCTCTCCCAGTATGCCCAGCTAGAGGACACCCAGCTCGCCATCGACCCCTCCTCAGCTGAAGTTCAGCCCGAGGCCAGCGGGATAAGGGTGCAGCCTTCCAACTTCTCGGAGGCAGACGTGAGGCTTCAGCCGGAAGAAGCGTCGAAGGCGCCGCCTCCCTCAGGGCCAGTTGAGGAGGCAGCGGGGAAGGACGCGGGTCGTCAGGGGACTCGGCAGGAAGAGGGAGGAAGAGAACATGCGTCCCGAGCCGAGCTGGCATGGCGGGTGGTGACCTGGCTCGCGCGCGAGTGCGGCATGTCGGAGGTCAATGTGATTTTCTTCTCTTCCCTGATCCTCTTCCTCCTGCTCGCTGGAACGTACATCGAGATTGGACATCGGTGGCAGGAGCAGGAGCAGCAGAGTTTGCATGCTGGGGCCGGCAGCCAGGCTGGAGGAGAGCAGAAGAAGAGGCAGGGGGGGGCGAGGGGAGGAAAGAACCTGCGGCGGAGGAAGGAGGCGATAGCCAGGTCTCAACGAGACTCAGCAGAGGTGGTTGGAGCTTCTTCCCTAGTCTCCTCGGGGAGGATGGAGGAGGAGGATGCGGGGGAAGGAACTCACGCGCAGGAGGGACAGGGAGAAGTTCGGGTGGGTCGACTGCGGGTGCACACTGGAAGCATCCTGGGGCACGGGAGCCAAGGGACCATCGTCTACGTTGGGGAGCTGGACGGGAGAAAAGTTGCGGTCAAACGCCTGCTGTCGACCTTCGTCGACGTAGCGCTTGGAGAGGCAAGAGCTACTGACTGACTGACTGACTGACTGACTGACTGACTGACTGACTGACTGACTGCTGGTTCAGGTTGACCTGCTGATGAAGGCCGACGCGCATCCAAACATCACGCGCTACTTCGCCAAGGAGGAGGACGGAGATTTCATCTACCTCGCCCTTGAGCTCTGCGACACGAGCCTAGCCAGCCACGTCGAGGAGCATAGCAACGCCAACAGCTCTGATATCAGCGCGGAGTTCTGCAGAAGGCAAGAGGAGGGAGGTAAATTCTTCCTTGAAATAGCTCTGTCACTCACCATCCTTCTCAAGCTGCGCAGCAAGAGCCTGTTTCGTCTCCCTCCGAGAGCAACGTGAACAAGAGCACTGGAGCACGAGACGTCTGTGTCGGAAGCGCGCAGGGATGGATGGAGGTGGATCGAGCTCAGCAGCTGCTGGCGGATCTACTTGATGGAGTCTCCTTCCTCCACAGGTGAATCAAAAACCCCAGTGGAGACAAGCTGCTGGCCCTGCTTCTTATTCGCTCCTTTCCCCTTCCTCTTCATCCTCCTACTGATTCTTCCTCTCCTTATTCTCGTCCTTCTACTCCTACTCCTGCTCCTGCTCTTGCTCCTCCTGCCCCTTGTGCACCATATGCCCCTAACTCTACCTGCTCTCCTTTCTCCGTCTTTTTTGTGCTTTTTGTTCCTCTCGGTTGTCCTCCTGAGCGGATTTCCTTTCAGCATGGGAATCGTCCACAGGGACTTGAAGCCAGGGAACGTCTTGCTGACGGCCGCTGGAAGGTGAGGCGGAGGATGGGGAGAGGAGGACAAGGAGGGAGAGAAGGAAGACAAGGAGGAATGAACAAGTGATGGGGGACGAGGATTTCGAGCGTGACTTTCTTGCAGGATCAAAATTTCTGACATGGGCTTCTCAAAGCGCCTGGACAATGGCCAGGTTACAAGGAGGAGAAAGGGGAGAGAGGAGAGGAGAGACACGAGTGCGACGGAAGGAAGAGTAAAGAGGTCGAGCAGAGAAGAAAACGGCAAGAATGGAGAGGAGGAGCAAGAGGAGGAGGAGGATGGGGATGCAAGGTATGCACAACAACGCAGAAAGTAACTTCCCACTCCCTCCCCAGTCCTCCTTCGACACGGTTCACGCGGGCACCATGGGATGGCGAGCGCCTGAGCTTCTGCTGAAGCAGGTGAGGGCAGGAGAAGCCTGCATGTCGTGCTGATGCTGCTCTCAGAGGTGCACCAAGTCTGTTGACATCTTCGCTGTTGGCTGCATCTTCTACTACGTCCTCACTCACGGTTCCCTCCATCTTCCAGCTCTGCTCCTTTCGCTTCATCTTGCATTTCCTTCTAATATTCCTAAAGTGCCCTTTTCATCTCCTCTCCTCCCCTCTCTCTCCTCTCTCTCCTCTCCTCTCCTCTCCTCTCCTCTCCTCTCCTCTCCTCTCCTCTCCTCTCCTCTCCTCTCCTCTCCTCTCCTCTCTTAGTCGTTCTTATTTCGTAGCATTTTCATTCTCCTGAGTCTTTTGCACTTCTTCTAGGTCATCACGCGTTTGGCGAGTGGCTTGAACGAGACTCAAACATCGTGCGAGATCGAACAAACCTTTCGTTGCTAGGTCCATACAAGCAACTCCCTCCTGTCCGCTCTTGTCCTCCCCACTTGTGTTGTCTTGTGTTTGCTGGCCCCCTCCTTTCCCCTCTCCCTCTCCTTGTCGCCGCCTTCCTCTCCCCCCTCGTCCTGCATCGGCAAGAGCTTGCCTGCTTCATGTTCACTCTCTCTCCTTCAGATCACTGGCCGGAAGCTCAGGACTTGATCGCTGAGCTCATTCGTCATGACTCGTCCAAGGTAATTCAGATCTCCTCGCTCGTGTCCCTCCGACAAATTTCAACATTGCCCTTCCTCCCTCTCCCTCTCCTTTCTCTTCCCATTCCCAAATCTCCTCCTCCTCCTCCTCCTCCTCCTTTTGAGCGTTTGCTCCTCATGTCATTGGATTGATCTCGCAGAGACCGACGGCAGCGGAGGCGAGGAAGCATCCCTTCTTTTGGAGCAAAGCAACATGTCTCCGGTGACTGCTGCTCGTCTCCCTTCTCTTCCTCCTTCATATCGCCTCCCTTTCTTGTCTGCTCCCGCTCTCCGCTCCCTCTTGCTCGTTGCCCGCGCTCTTATACTTTCTCAGCTTTCTGCTTGATTGCTCGGACCGTGTGGAGAACGAGGATGCGTCTTCCTTGTTGGTAACGGCCATGGAGAGAAGAGCGCAGATGGTGAGGAACAAAGATGATTACTCCTTCGTTGTCAGCCCTGTACAATCTCGTCTCAATTCTCGTCTTCCTCTTCCTCTTCCCCATATTGCCTCCCATCCTTCACTTCTTCTATTACGTTTATCTCGTCCACCTGCTCGTCTATTAGAAAAATCGCAATATTTTACTACCACTATCTCCTCCTCCTCCACCACCACCACCTCCTCCTCCTCCATCTCAACTAATTGCTACTTTCTGTGTTGACGCTTCATCTGAAAGGTGTTCGCGAGCCCTTGGAACCTTCAGCTTGACAGCAGCTTCATTGCAACCTTGCTCGAGTACCTGAGACAAGACGCTTCCCCTGCTCTGACCCTGCTGGCAGGAGGAGGAAGTACAACTACAACTCCCTTAGAGATCTCCTGCGGGCGATCAGAAACAAGAAAAATCACTTCAGGCACGCCCTCCTCCCTCCCCTCTTCTCCATCTTCCTCCTCTCTCTGGACATGCTCTCGCTCCTTGTCATTCTTGTTCGCTGTGCCATGTTGCTCCTCACCTAACGCCACTGCAGGGAGCTGCCGCAGGCCGTGCAGGACATGCTGGGAGGAGTGCCGGACGGGTACATGCTCTACTTCAAGACCAAGTTCCCCCGCATCATTCTTGAGATGTACTTGTTCGCGCTTGAGACGGGTGAGGCAGCTGAGGGAGAGGTGAGGAGGTTGATGAGTATGTGCAGAGCTGACGAGGAACGAGGCTGTGTTTTCTGCCTACTTGTCTCCATGAGCGTTTTTCCCTGTTTGAACGTCTGAGGTTTTTGGAGTTGAAGGAGGAGGGTTGTACAGTAAGCGAGGGTATCAAGTATCTCGACTTCTTTATCCTTCAACAGATTGTTACACTAAATCACAAGCAGCTCGACCCCAGCAGACACGCGAGGAGGAGCATCAGAGAGTCTGAGAGCTCACAACTCTCTCCACACGCTTGAGAGGCGGCTAGCGAGGTCGCGGCTGATGTCCCGGTCGAAGAGCATCTGCCCGTGGTTGGCGTTTCTCATGGTGTAGCTCCTGACGCAGTTGTGCTGCCCGAGGCGAGAGGCGTGCTGCTCGATGTGCCTGTGAACGGCATGGGAGGGAACGATCTCGTCGTGCTCGGAGAGGCACACGAGGGAGGGGATGTTCTGCTTCTGGAGGTCCTGCGCCCACAGGATGTTGCGGTACCACCAGAAGTTGCGGCGGAGGGCGTTGTTGAGGTAGAGCTCCGACCCGATGAGATCTCCCAGCTTGTTTCCCAGCTTCCTCCTGTCGTTGTCCTGCGTCTTCTTGTAGAGGAAGTTGTACAGCACGTCCTTTAGGTTCAACATCATCACCACTGGGTCGATGAGCCCGATCCCCGCAACCCGCTCGGGCAGGTGCTGCACCATCCAGGAGAGCACGACAGACCCGTACGAGTGGCCCACCCAGAACGCGTCCTGCAGTTCCCAGCGCTGAAAGATCCTCTCGATGCCGTAGAGATGGTCGTCGATGGAAGGGACAACAGGGCTGATGGTGCAGGAAATGTGGGGGAGCTCGATGAGAATCATGGGGCAGTCGTTCACCATGAGCTCCTTGAGGAAGGACAGGTAGGTGATGAGACCAACCCCAACGCCATGCACGAACACGATCGGCTTCTTCTTCCTGCTCTCCTCGCACTCCGGCAGGCGGATCCAGTAACTGATTTCCCCATCCACGTGCTTGGCGAAGCCCTCCTTCCTCAGCTGGAAGCCAGCCGCTGCTCCTAGCAGCCACTGGCACACGAGGTAGAAGACGATGGGCTTGTGCTTGTACAGCAACGGCTCGATGGTAAACCTCATGCAAGGGAGAGGCTGCTGGCTCGGCAGACGGGTGGGAAACTCGTAGTTGAGCTGCTCCTGGATCTTGACGAAGATTCGGTGGATGCTGCACTTCTTGTCTTCGTCCAGCACCTCGTAGGTCGTGCTGAACGTGGCCCACGTCAGGAAGCTGTGAACGTCCTCCACGGTGATGGACTCGAACTTGGAGTCATAGAACCATCCCGAGAGGAACTGCCGCGTGCAGTGGGAGGAGGACAGGATCATGTCCCACAGCTCGTCAAGGTCTCGTGCGACGGGCTCCGGCTCCATCGGGGTCTCGAGCACACTCGCTTGCAAGCAGTTGTAGCCAAAGAACATCATCTCTGCTATCCCGAGGACAATCGCAGGGAGGTTCGACCCTGATGTGAAGCTGGCAGTGACAAGAATGGCTAAGGAAATCATCCAGGGGAGCAAATCGGTCTTGACAGAGTGAGGATTGGAGAGATGTTGTGAAGCATCCATGCCGGATGGAATGGTCTCCCTCAACACCTTCTGATCACTCTCAAAGAACGAGAACGATGTCAGCCGGTTCAAGCTGAAGTCCTTAGGGAAACTTGCTGCCTGCAGCAAACGTCACTACAAAACTCCGCACCTTGTCAGAAATGTTGCGTACCTTCATTGCAGTTTTTCTTCTATGTGATCCAACGGATTGCATGGTAAGAGACCTTGCTGTAGGAGCATGCATAGAGATGGAAAACGCCAGCGATGGTGAGTAAAAAGCATACGAAAATGTTGTTAACTGAAGCAAAATCATCTGTCCGACCATGCCAGGAAACCGGAAAAGTTGAGAATGTGAAGATGCGAAACGGGAAGATAAACAATGCAAGCAGATGCTTCGCAACTTCCCTGCCACTCCCCACCCAAGACTCCAAAGGAGTGGAAGGAGTGAGGAGTGGTGGTTGGTGACCGCGCGAGCTGTCGGGTGAGCTGATCAAGTACAGTAGATAGCTGACGGGTTACTGGAAGTTGACTCTCAGAAGACTGTAGAAGGAAGAGAGAGGAGGAGAGAAGATGAACGGCGAGGAGCAGGTGGTGGAGGAGGAGGAGCAGGGTCCTACGGGAGCCGGAGGCGACAGATGGGGGCAGGGGATGTGTAAATAGAATTGTGGGCTTAAAGTAAGACTGAAATGCTATATTTCTCTTAAAACAATTATTTGTACCAACATGTACAATAGAAAAACTCTTATAGTGAAATACTGAATTTAAGGCCACAAGAAACGACCGCTCGCATGAGATAAGTCTAGATTACCACAGAGCTCTGTACCGGGATTTATAGCATTAAAACATTTATGTGTATAAGTATTTTTGGGGGGTTGCAGTACACATGGCCTCGTCATCAGACCCTCATAATATATCGAATAATATATTTTTCGTATATCTTAAAATAGTTATTTGTTATCTCGGTACGATCTGGATGTACGGCCCCGACTGATCTCGTCTCGGTACCGCCATAAAATGGTATATCTGGAACTACCCACCCAGGACATCATGAGAATGGGAGGGGTACTTGCCTCCTCTGCAACCTCTCGGCCTTTTTTAGCAACCTGTTTACATCGACCACCCACCTCATTTGATCTTCTTCATGACCCCCACCCTATCCAACCCTGTCTTTCACCCACCCTTGATAGGTTCTATCGCAACCTCACTTTCTCGTCCTTCTACCCCCACCCCCAAGAATCCCCCCGCTTGTATCCTCATTGTGAGTGAAACTGTCACAACCGTTGTCTGGCATGAACAGGCCCGCCCCAGAATAAACACAATTCCCGGGCCCGGAGCCCGAGGTGCCGAAACACTGAGACTTACCGGGTGAGGAGTCTGAAGGCCCATCGAACATTCCGAGGTCCCTGCCCACGTCATACTCCCCAACCCTACCCATGTTTTGAAGATGTCACTCCATTGACCGGTACTTCCCAGATAGCAAAGTTCTGTCAATAACGGGTTCATTGGTACCCCACCCCCTCGTGTGGAGCTTTCTTCAGGCTCATACAGCACGCCAATGCACCTCATTACAACAACTTCAGACTACCCACCCATATTGTTTCACTACCCTACCCCCTTTGGGCTACGAAAGCAAAGAAACCCATTTCTTGGCAGCATTGGAATCTCGTTCATTCATAGAAAACTTTTATCAACTAAGATGAGTCAAACTTAAGTAACTGTTGTTGAATAATGCACTACCCCACCCAAAACAAGGACCCTACGTTTTTCACCACCCTACCCACCCTGAGGGCACATGGACGACCGATCGCACTGAGCTAGAGTATCGTCGCCATGCAGTGGAGGACGAGGGTGGCAGCGCTGGTTCTTTGTGCCGCTGTGATGGTGACAGGGGAAAAGCAAGAGAAGTTGCGGTGGGCACAAGACAAGGAAAGACTTTATGTCACCATCGCTGTTGAATGCGCAAGTGACAGGAGCGTGGGTCACACCGAAGATCGATTCTTGTTCTCCTGCAAGGGGAGTGATGGGAACTTACATAAGACAGACTTTGAGTTGAGAGAACCGATCAAACCGTCGGCCAGTCACTGCAAGCAACAAAGAGGAGAAGAAGTCTGCATGTGAGCATCTTGCCAACTACCCCTCTTTGCATCGCCTTCGAACATTGAATCTTGTTCAGCCCCCTCCCTATATTCTCCTCTCTTCTCCTCGACATCCCTCTCTCTCCATACACTTAGACGTGGATGTCGCAAGCATTGCTGATACTTGTAATGACAGACTACAAAAAGCGCACCCTCACTATTTCGACAAGCTTACAACTGATAAGGAAATCCTGAACATTCTGAAGCCAGATTGGTCGAGGTGGAAGGATGAAGACGAGGGGTGCGCATGATTGTGTCACCCTCTTGGCTGGCTGATTTTTTCTGTTCTTTGCAATACAGAGGAGCTTTCGAAAACGATTACGAGGTGTTGCCCAAGTCAATCATGCTCCCGGGGACGGTCGAACTCGTGGACAAGACTGTCAAGGAAGGCAAAGTAGCCTTCGTGCACGCCTACTTGCCCTGGTGAGGAGGAGGAGGAGGAGGAGGAGGAGGAGGAGGAGAAGGAGGAGGAGGAGGAGGAGGAGGAGGAGGAGGAGGAGGAGATATGTAGGGATCGCTCACATGGTTGTAGGTGCAATATGTGTGCCTACACCCGGCAAGGCTTCATCCGAGCCGCAAAAGAACTCGGGGGGAACCAGACAAACAACGTCTTCATTTACATTGACGCGAGGGAGGACAAGGCGGCGGCAAAGCGCTACAACATCACGTGCGTGCCGGAGTGTTTCTTCGTCATCTCTAGGAATGGCGAGCAAGATGAGGTGATGGCGGCCAAGGGGAGTAACGACGACATTGCAAATGCGATCAAGGCACATTTGCCCCCAGCGCTCAGCAAGGTGAGCACGGACAGCGAGGTCAATCATTTCATCGAGGAGAACGCAGTTTCTGTTCTCGTTGCGGTCAAGGGTGGTCTGATGTCCAAGGCGACCGACTCCAGTGAGTATGTTGCAGCCAAGAAAGCCGCACAGACCCTGCGGGGGAAGGTGATGTTGGAATCAAGGTGGAGGGGGTCAACTGAATCTGATTTGTCAGGCGAGCTTCATGTACACTGACAAGAAACTCTTGGGACTTGCGCCAGGAAACATGCGGGTCTGGGTGAATGGATCAAATCCTCAGACCGCAGCGCTGGGCTCCGATTCCACGGCACTAGCGAAACAAGTCATTGGGCTGAGCTGGGGTCTAGAGCTCTTCAACTACACCTGGAAGAAAAGAGAAGTGTTCGACAGCGTTGGAATCCCGATCGCCCATGTGTATCCGGGTACCAAGTCAGAAGATCTTGAGATGTTCAAGGAAGTCGCGAAGGAGCTTAGTGGCAAGATTGCATTCCTCCGCTTCGCGGAATCTGAGAATTACATGCTCAAAGACTTTGGGCTTGTGGAAGACAAGTTCCCTGCATTTGGAATCGCTGAGAGCTTCGATGCCAAGGCAAAGAGATATGCCTTCGAAGGAGATTCTTTCACCAAGGAAAAAATCATTGAGTTCTGCAAACGTTTCCTTGATGGGAAGCTTGAGCCCTCTTACAAATCAGAAGTGGTTCCAGGGGGAGAGCATGTTCGTGGGACTGTGCGGCATGTTGTGTGGAAGACTCTTGCCGAGAGCAAGTGGAATGACATCACTGCAAAAGAAGATGTTCTCCTCCTGCTCTACAAACCTTGGTCCAACGATAACCAGAAAGTTCTGACCATATTCGACAAGGTTGCAGCGGCGTTGGAGAAGGTCGAAGGAGTTTCTTTGGGCAAGCTTGACACAAGCAAGAATCACTATGATGCCGAACGGTTTCCGATTGATGAGTACAGCAGCGAACCAGCTGTCTTCTTGTGCAAAGCCGGATCGAAGCCGACACAGTTCGCCGGGGCGCTGACTCAGAAGGATCTCTTCAAGTTCCTTGCCAAGAATTCCCCAGCGGTTAAAGCCGGTTGGGAGACACTTGTGAAACCAAAGCTGCAAGAGATCAAGGCAGCAGAGGAAGAGAAGAAGAAGAAAGCAGAGGAGGCAGCAGCTGCTGAAAAGGCCAAACTAGAGGAAGAGAGGAAGAAGCTCGACGAGCTGGCGGCCACGGCTGAGAAGATCGACGTGGGCTCGAAAAAGGATGGGGGCCTGATCAAGCAGATCATCTCTCCCGGCTCAGGAGACTCAACCCCGCAAAAGGGAGACCTCGTCAAGGCTCACTACACTGGAACCCTGCTCGATGGAAGCAAGTTCGACAGCTCACGGGATCGGGGCGATCCCTTCTCTTTCACCATCGGGCAAGGACAAGTAATCGCGTGTTGGGACGAAGCCTTCCTTACCATGAAGAAAGGAGAGAGAGCTCTTTTGACTTGCACGGCTGAGAATGCCTACGGAGACAGAGGAGCTGGAGAGAAGATTCCTCCTGGCGCCACCCTCAGGTTTGATGTGGAGCTCATCGACTTTGGCAACAAAGCCAAGTCAGAGTTGTAGGAAGGATCTCATTGGTGAAGAGAATACATGTTGTGTACACGCGTGGCATTCCAACTCAACTACGATCGCGACCATGCTGGAAGAATATACACTCTTTGTTACAACTATACATAGATGATCTACTGTAAGTAGCTTTTTCACATGGACTGATTGTCCCTCGGGGAGAGAAGAAAGCGTCTTCGTCTCTTGACAATGTAGTTAGCAAACGATCCTGGCATAACAGGACGGGAGGTCGGAAGAACGTGACTTGATTCTGTGTTCATAACGAAATTATGGGAGTGCCTCTTGTATTTGCTGCACCATTGTGGGAGAAACTCGAAGCAACCATGATGGTCCTCTTCACCATAACTGATCGCGTCGTGGGATGATAGCAATATCGTGCTGCATTGGCGAGATCCTGCTGCCTGCGTGTGTACAAGGCGTCTCCTGAATTGCGACACGAATGCTCTGGACAACAGTGTACCTTTGACCATCTCTTGCAAGGATATCGGATGTCTGCGGGAGTAAAGAAGCAGGTCAAGGGGAAGTGAGAAGATGCGGGAGGTTATCAAGGAGATAGGTTGTAGCGGTGGGAGGGCGGGGAGGGGGTGAGGACGAGAAGGATCGAACTGATCTGTCGGGGGAGCAGAGGGCGGGGTCTTGTTGGAAGTCAGGAACCCCGATGATGCTGACGTCAAGTGTCAGCGATCACCCTAAAACACGTCGTTTCGAATATCAAAAGAATCCTTTTTCAATCGAAAAGGTGTATGTTCACAAAATTTCATTGGTGGGTGGAGGAGCAAAGGGTGAATGTGATACTTTGAGAGGTAGGAGACCAGGGGTACAGGGGGAAACAGGGATGAGAAGGGGGTCAAGTGAAGTACCCCCTCCGATGTGATGCTCAACTTAAAAAGAAATTATAAAAACAGGACGGCCTCCTCTCCACCCGTCAATATCCATACGCGTACCCCTTGACTTGGGACCTCGATTATTTCAACAAGAATTATAAAGGTACCCCCTTCCTGCATATGATTTTCACGGGTGTTGTGAGAGCATGGTTCTTTTTATCATATTGAGTAAATCCAGTTACTCAACTAAACTTCAAGTCCCTCATACAGCACTTACTAGGCTTCGCGCGAGGTCCGGGCCCGGCATGGAGGAGCCGCCCGGAACCCGGCGAAGACACTGAGGCAGGTCACGGCACTACTGCGTCGCCGGCGCTCCGATCTGAGGACTCTGACGCGGGCTCGGGGAGTGGAGGCTGCACACGGAGAAGATCTCCGTGCACAGTTGACTCTCACGGCGATGGGCTCCGGGGCAACTATTCCAAGTATACCTGAGCTGAGGTTACGATAGGGGTGAAGGCAAGAGATTGTTCGAGTGGTTCAATAAGTAGATAAAGGGATCTGCAGACCCTGACGGACCACTCAGATGATAAGGGGGAAGATACAACGCTTCAGCATCGCTGTTCTGATTTACTACAGCACAAGCAGAACCTTACACAGAATTTGAAGGGTTGCAAAATACTTCAACTCTCTCAATTCAAACTTGAACTTTGGACCCAATATTTGGAGGCTTCATTTTCGTACTCAACATGAAAACTGAAAAGAGATCTTTTCGATAGACCCCTTCGGAGCGGCGGGCCGACAGGTGGTACACGTGGGTGGCTCACGGGATCAATCGGAGGAGTCACGGGATCCTTGGCCCCGTCCCCCTCGCAACTTCAACCGACCTCCTCGCGCATCCTCGCTCACTTGCTCTCCTCCCTGCTCCCTCCACGCACTTGTCGTCAACGCTCAGGTCGCTGATACCTCTTCCTCCTTTTCCACTATGGTTTCTACCGACATCATGATCGATGCCCCTCATGTGAAGATCTTGCATCAATCTAGCCCAGCAGATCGCCCCCGAGCCAACCGTATCTCTATCCAATCCACCGAATGGTTCCTTCCAACAACCGCTTCAAGCTGCAGGCAGGACAGCATCGAGTCCTCGCCTCCTCCAGCACACTTTGTCAAGAGAGGACGAGGAAACCGAGTGAAGCTGGACGAGAAGGTGATTGACTGCGTCAGCGTCAACGAGTGGAGACGGCAAAGAAACAGACAAGTCGGAGCTGAGTTGTCTCAAGAGCTGTAGACCTCTCGATGCCTGTGCCACCATTGAAACATTCTTCTTGTTGTATTATACATATTCAAAATAAACAGAATTGGAGTGAACCAAGATACAAAAACTGCCCCTCAGAGTGACAAGCATTCACAGCACGACAACCTCGTCGTGGTTTGGCAGCTCTTTGACAAGTGTGTTGGACCTCGACAGTGAAGCATGCGACGGGGCGACCTGCGAGTCGACCAAGACGAGGCTGCTCGCAGTGACATCGAGGTCGAGGGAGGTAGTCGAGTCGCGGATCACTGTGACCACGACGGTAGCATGATTCTCGAGTAGAGAGAAGACCTGCGATGAGGTCAGAGTAGGTGAGAGTCATGGAGAACATGACAAGAAAGGTGAGAGGCAGTGAGATAGACGTCACCTCAGCATCCGTCACGATAGCAACATCTTGACCCTGCATCGCATGCACAACATCTCCTTCCTTGAGAGACTCGCTCTCCGTATCTCCGTCAGCTTTCACAACAGTAAGCATGCCATCCTCTGTCCTCGCCAGCTCGAATCGCTGCTGGGCCCTGCCCTTCTCCAAGCTCTGCTTCAGCAACATGTTTCTCTTCCTGAGCAGCAAGGAACTCTCCTGGACTTGCTTCAACGCATTTCTGATCTCGATGTTGGAAGGAGCTTCCTCCACCTAGCAGCAGGTCAGCGACGGGAGAGGCCCCCGAGAGGTGAAGATGAATCAGACTTGGTCTATGGACTTGTCCAGCGTGAACACGCCTTTGACCCAATCACTTTCGTCCTGCATAGATGGTGAGCAAGACAAGGAGACAAGTCCAGGGACCTGCTGGGCAGCCGTGCGGTTGAAGAGGTTGGAGCGCATCTGATTCATCTTGGCGTGAAGCTCATTCCTCTTCATCTGCAACCAGGTCAACACACGACAGCGCCCACAGACAAGGGGAGAAGCAGCTCGAAGATGAGGATGAGGGGAAGAAGGAGGAGAGGAAGGGGAAGGGGAGGCTTTGAAATGAAGAGGAAAGAAAGGGGAGGGAGAAGGTTTTGATAAGAGAAAGACGACGTGAACGACGAAGAAGACAACGAGTAGGAGGACAAGGAAAACCTCGAGCAGGTCCAGCCCGTCCTTGACTTGCTTGCACTTGTCCTTCACCATCTTATCGATGGGAGTCTCAGCATCAGCCTCCTCCTTCTGCTTGATGGCAGGGCTGTAGATTTCCACGTTCGCTGTCTCCCTGCCCTCCGACGCTCCTTTCTCTCCCTCCTCCACCCGAGCAGCTCCAAGTTTGACGTTCAAGTGCTTCGGAATCGAGTTCGTGTACACAGCAATACCATTCCTGCACGCCAGTCACTTACGACTTCCCTTCTCCTCCCTTCCCTCCTCTCTCATTCACTAGAACCCTGATCTCCTCCACTTGTCCTCCTCCCTTCCTCCATTCGTCCTCCCGGCTCTTTCTCGCGCCCTCTGCTCCACCATCACCTGATGCTCGCCTCGTCGTCGAGGAACTTGTTCTGCACATTCATCCCACGGGAGGGAGCGAGAGGAGAGTCGAGGTCGCTGATCTTGATCTCTCGTTGCTTCCCCTTGGGCCGCAGGCTCCCTTCCAGCAGACAATCTCGATTCCACCTGCTCCCAGTAAGACCTGGCGCCCTGTCCCTTCCGCCAGACATATCTTCCTCCTTCTCACTCACTTGAGCCGGAGGTAAACCCTCCCCTTCACCGGCTCCTCCTCCTCGTAGGCTCCTTCCGGATCCTCGAGGTCGAACCATCCCTCCTGCATGAAACTGAGTCAATACATCCCTCCCCTCCCTCCCTCCCTCCCCTCCATCTCCCTCGCCTCTCCCTCCTCCTTCTTTTCCCCTGCCCCTTCTCCCCTCATCCCCTGAGCTCACCAGCGTACGGCAAGTCATGAGGGGGCAGAGTGGAACTCTGCCAAGTTGAATCAGCGGAAGAAAGGAGGTCGAGAGGTCATGGAGGAGGAGGACACAAGGACTGATGAGACGCGAGCAGGAAAAGAAGGAGAAGGGGGAGGAAGTGTTGTATGAGGGCTAACCTGATTTCACCCATGAAGTCGTCGAGCGAGAGCTTATCATTGTCGAACATTTGTACGCGCAACATGGTGAAAGGGGCAGAGTGGTTCTGATACACCCCGTGATCGCTCAAGTTTCCTCCCTGCAATCGCGAGTGAGGGGAGGAGAAGAAAGGGCAAGACAAGTACCTCGAGGTACAGCTTGAACTTCTGATCGAACTTGGGGTTGAGGGACTTCGAAACTATCCGAGATTTCACCTGCTCCTCATCAGCATGCAAAAATCCCGCACCCCACTTCTTCCCTCACTTCCTCGTCATCTTCCCCTTCCTCTCTCCCTCCCCTTCTCCTCCTTGTCTTTCGTTTCCTCTTTTCCAATTTCTTCTTCCCAAAGATTGTACTTCTCCTCCCACCAGCCACCTCAACCACCACCTCCACCATTTTGTCTCCCTCGCTCTCGCTTCCGTTCCGTTCAATCCTCTCTCACACCTTTGCGTACTCCCCAGGAAGAGACGGAGGTCCCTTCGACACAACCTGAAGAGATAAGAAGGTCAAGGAGACGAGGGGAAAAGAACTCAAACAGGAGCAGCAGCGGAAGGAGGGGGAAGAAGATGTGAGTTGGCTCACCTTCCACATTGCCTGAAGAGAAATCGCAGATGGAACCCTCTTCACTCCCTGTGACACGTTTAAACGAGGAGGAGGTGGAGAGATAGGAGAGAGAGAGAGGTAGAAAGGGTGGAGGATGGGAAAGAGCAAGAGGGCAAGAGAGCAGTAAGAGGGGATGGGAAAGAGCAGGAGGGCAAGAGAGCAGGAAGAGGCAGGAGCACTATAAGGAACAGCAAGTGGAAAGAGGGGGGTGTAGGTAGAGGGAGGAGCAGCATGCACGAACATTAACAGCCTCCGTCAAGTCGCCTTCCGACTTCCATGAAGTCGATGAAGTGAGTCGTTTCCTGGCATGCTCTCAGTCCGATCCTCCTTGCTCCCTCTCAACCCCTGAACCCCATTCTCCTCTCTGACCATACCCTCCCTCCTCCCTCCTCCCTCCTCCCTCCTCCCTCCTCCCTCCTCCCTCCTCCCTCCTCCCTCCTCCCTCGTCTTACTCTCTCTCAAGGGCTGCACTCGTGGACATGGTACGGGATCGTGCCAGGGGAGCAGAACGCTTTTCTTGAGGGATCTCGACCTTCAACCCCTTGAGGGGTCGACAAAGTTTATTCGCCTCCTTGTGTGTGGGCTGTGGCGCGTCCTGCTCCTGCTCTTTTCCCTTCATCCCGATCAGAGACTGTTGGAGCGACGAGTTAGTGAAGGCCGCGATGACAGAAGGAGAAGAGGCAGCTTCATGCCTTGAGGCGAGAGATGACCGCTGAAAGTCCTAACGTCTCGAGTCAGTTTCCTTCCTTTTCTTCGCTCTCAAGTCACCAGATTGTACGAGCAGCTTCAGCCTCGCGAATCTCGTGAGGGCGTGAGACGACGCGTCCTCGATCTCCTCTGCTCTTCTTGTCAGTCTCCTGGACAACCAGCGGCTGCTCTCACCCTCCTCGCGAGCGGTAGGAACGAGGCTGAGGAGGCAGTAGGGGTCGCTCAAGCCGTTGGCGTCCATGGCCGCGAGCCCCTCCGCCTTCACCAGGTGAACTTCAACGTACCTACACCATCAGAGTCATCGTCCTCCCTCGGCCCCTTCCTTCTCCTCCTTCGCCTCCTCCTGTCCTTCTTCTTGTCCCTTCCCTGTCTTCGCCCTTCCTCTACTCTTCTTCCCTCCACCTTGTCATCTCTCCTCTGTCCTCCTCTTCCCCTTCCCCTCCCCCCGCCCCATAGTCTCATTCTCCACCTTGGGTTGACATCTTCAAAGGCGCGCAGCAGCTGCTTAGTGCGACGGTCTCGCAGCATGTCCTCCATGTCACTCCTGTCCCCACGTCACCCGTCCATCCTCCATCCTCCTCCTCCTCTCGCACCTGCTCGTAAACTTGCGGAAGACGCAACCAGGCCCTCCGCACTCTTTGATGGTCTCAGCCAGTCCCAGCGGCAGCGTCTCGAGGTACTCTTCCTCCTGCGCGCACGTTCCTCGTCACCAGCAGGAGCATCAGCGGGACTGCCTCACGTTCCACTCCTCGTAGACGACTTCCGGGATAACGTGCAGCCTGACCAGCAGCTGACAAGCTCGTGAGATGTTGTGCTCGTGAGAAACTGACAGGGCGGATGCTTCTCACCGCGTGGATCACTTCGAACAGGCTGTGAACCCTGCGGTAGAGCTGGAGGAACCGGTCAGATACATGCTGAAACGAGGAGGGGAAACGACAAGGAAGAGGAAGAGGAAGAGGAAGAGGGAAAGGGAGAAAGAAAGGGAGAGGGAGAGGGAGAGGACGAAGTGCATGGAGATGATGGAGAGTAAGACAAAGACGGAGATAGACTGAAAGAGGGGAAGCAGCAGCAACTCACAATGTCGGCTCCCTCGAAGAAGATGAGCCATGCCAGCAGCACGAACTTGGCCTCATAGTAGGAAGGGATCTATCGCAAACTCAGGGGAGAGAAGAGCATATCCGAAGGCATCACCCAAGAGAGAAGAACGTCCGTCATGTTCTCAATCACATTCAGAATGAGGAAGATGATCCAGAACGACAGCCACTGCCTATCGTCGTCTCCTCCTGCCGCCATGGCCGTCAATGCAAGCATGTAGAGCGGAAGGAGAGGGGCGAGAGGAAGACGAGAGGTGAAACCAAGAGGACGAGTTACACGAGGGACACAAGGAGTGAAAGAAGCAAGAGAGGAAGCAACAAGGGAGGAGCAGCAGCAGAAGAGAAACAGGAGGAGCCTGTGAGGCTTGCCTGGAGTCTCGATGGCATGAACTGACTTGAAGCAGGCCCATAGAGCCAGCACGTAGGAGAGTCTCATCGCCCACAAGCCAGAGCCTGTCGGCTCGTTGATGCAGAACAAGGGATGCGCTCCTATTCCGGGCCAGTCACAATATGATCTCCCTCCCCTCCCCTCTCCTCCCATCCCCTCCCCTCATACACTTTTTCCCATCTCCTTGTCCTCACATCACCTGGTTCTCCACACTTGGGAGCTTTGCCGAGTGCGTTCGCGAGGGCTCCCACGTTCTCCGACATCATCTTGTTCATCTGAACTCCTTGTCACCTCCTCCTCCTTCACATCTCACACACACCTTTCGCCATTTCTTGTAACCGTCCGACAACTGACAGCCTGGAAATTTGTAGGTGCACATGTTGGATGGCTGAGCAAGATGTCAGGAAGGGACAGGGGAACGGGAAGTTCACTCGCCTCGCATGAAGCAGGAAAGTGATACTTGCACTTAGGAACTTCACCGAACTCGTCGATCTGTAGAAACGTCACACTCGATCCTCGGGGACTCAGTCACATGCCTGAGGGCAGTAGCCAGCAGCCACGCATGGAAACTTGGAGCTCTCTGAAAGAGCCTGGGACAGATGAGAGGAGGCGATTGGGCACAGGGGCGGTAGGGGAGGGGAAATAAAGTATGAGGTTGAAAAACGTGTAGAAAGAACAAAGGAAGGAGACAGAAAAACTGAAGATGAAAAGACAGGCGAAAGATGCTTCTTACTTTGACGAGCTTGTCGCAAATGGTGATACACCTAGATGAAAACATCACATCTGCTCGGTAGCCTAGTTCTCGTTCACCTCTTGAGGCCAAAGCACATCGCCCGGCAGTCAATGTCTGACAGCCCTCCTTCTGCTTCGCCGGACAGCATCATCGTCATGACCTACGAGCCTTGAGCATCCTCAACCCCTTCCATCCCTCTCACCTTGTCGCATAGAGTGCACATGGCGCCTTCGCCTTTGAATATCACGTCGACGACCTGGAGGTACAAGATCAGCCGGCGCAAGAGCTTCCTCTGAGAGCTGACCAGCATCCCGATGTCCTTGACGGTCGTGATGGTCTTGGCGAACGCCATGGTTCCCCACAGCATGACCCTAGAGGTTCTCGCAGTCACGCTCAGGCACACAGCATGTCAGCTCCTCGCTACCATGGCGGCGGTAAGGGAATCCCTCCTGACAACAGACATGTCAAGCTTGAACAAGGCAGCTCAAGAGCTTTACCTTCAGCTGGGGTTGGGAAAGACACGAGCAACAATACAAACAGAAGCGTCGCTAGATTAAAAATGTTTACCGCAGGTAAATTCACAGAGCAATATCTTCTCTCCTCACCTGTCTGCGCTGTACTGACCATGGAGTCTTGTATTTTGGAGATCAATACAACATCAAATCAGTTTCCTGGAAATGACAAACGTGAGCAAGAAGGAAAGAGAGTGATTTGCTATCCAAAAAAAAAATTGTCACGTCGTGCTGCTCATGTTTCGGCGCTAAGCCTTGAATGAAGAACTTGACGATTAAGACGATGTCCATTGTGGTATGGTACTCAAGCAAGCACAATCCAGATACGGCCCGAGAGTTGAAGAGCCGGTCATGCTCGCGAATATAACTAGCGGAGGTTGTGAGATGTTAGGCATCACAAACGGATGCGTCAGGCTGCATGAGGAGAGGTTGAATCTCGAGTCGGAGCATGAGCATGAGCATGAGCATGAGCATGAGCATGAGCATGAGCATGAGCATGAGCACGAGCACGAGCATGAGCATGAGCATGAGCATGAGCACGACGTGGGCAAAGAGCGGGGTTGAGCGTAGAGCTCTGCCTTGCAATGAGCGGGTGATTCACATATGTGGCAACGATTATCCTGGGGGACGGGGTACCCGTAGCTTTTCCGAGGTGGTGGGGGTGGGTGACTATCTATCTAGTGGGACCTATAGAAAGAAGATCTTATAAGTAAAAGTCTATTTGATCATGGCTATGGTCCTTTGCTCGGCTTCAGAGAAAGAGGTCGCACTTTGGCGAGTGGGTGGGGTGGTACTTAGAAGCTCCTGAGTAAAGACGCACTAGGAGGGAGAATGAGGGGTGCATGCCAATATGGACCCCCTAAAGGTAGCACTGCCAAACCATGAATTAGGGGTAGGGGTGTATACCCCTGTAAGAAGTTTACTTCCTTGATCTTAGAGAGCTCCTAGGGGGGGTCCTAGTAACTCTCCTATCAGAAATCCAAGGAGGTTTTTTTACTACACATAGTAAACTCGTGGCTGGAGGGAATCAAGGAGGGGGTAGTGGAAGTAGGGGTGCAAGTGATTGTAAATCATGGTAGTCTAGACGGGTACAACGACATGGAGGAGGGGTACGAGGGTTAACAACAAACATGGTCTAGTCTTCATCTCCTATAGTCCCCGAGCCCGGACGTTGGCCGGTCGCCGGGCCCGTCCGAATGTGGGGGACGGGAGGCCCTCCCTTCTATCGTGGAGTAATTTAAAATGTTGTTGATCTTTACTTCATTATAAAAACCGAAAATAATCCTTTCTGAAAATCTATGGTAGGGAAATATAAAACTCTATTATCCAATCCCCCAGTCTTTGCGCCCCAAACAGAATCTCCCTCCGAATCCAAACTGGGCAAGTTTGCAACAGGTAGAAGAGCAAGGGGAGCGGCGGGAAATAGTGGCGAGTATGAAGGCGACACCTGAATAGTAGCAAGGTCTTTAGTATGATCAGAATTTAGATTGTCAGTCCTGTACTTCAAAAGAACATGTGGTGTTTTCAACCCGTTGTGATAACGAAACGGGTCGTGACAATGCCTCATGTGTACTCGGTGATCAAATGCACTTGAAAATTCTGGCAAGTCTCGTCATTGTTGAAATTTAGTAATGGAATAGAATAAGAGTTTGTTTTCTTATCTAAGACGTTGCTTGTAGGGAACCAGCCATGCGGACAAATCGTATAGCACAAAGTTGTTGCAGAATTCCTTTCCTGAAGCCAGAAAATGCATTGGTAGGAGGTATTCAACGAGAACATTCACTGCAAATCAAACCTGTGACAATCGAAGATATAGACTCTCGCATTGCAGGCAGCAATGTATGCTTTCAAGAATGGAAAAGCAAATATAAACAGTCAAAAATCGAAACCGGGTTTGATGGAAAATACTATCTCCCCCCTGACGAGGGAGCATCAAACAGGGTGCAAATGCCCGTATTGCCAGGTAGCTGGGCACGCTTGGTTCAAAGAAAGAGAAGACGTTTTCTAAACTCGCTACCGGGAAGGCAATAAGTTCGTACGAAAAGTTGATGGACGTTTTGAAACAACTATCCAGATCAACAATTCTTTATTTTGCATATGAATAAAACCTCTCAATGAGGCTTTTACAATGGCATATGTGTGCACAGGGATTACCCTTTTTACAAGAAATCAATCCATCACCTGTCATTCAACCAACTGGTTCTTCCGAGGCCACCATTTACATGTTTGTACAAGCCAAATAGTCATTTACCGCGGAGGCCACACAAACCTCTTCCTGCGCTTCTGGAAACCATCTGCCCATGACCCAGGGCAGACTTTCTTCTGAGAATTTTGCCAAGTGCAGTGATCTGCACAATGCTTCTCTAGAAATTGAATGAGATCGTACTTGTGCGAGTGCTGCTCGTATTCTTGACACCATTCTGGGGCATACTCCCATATCGATGGGGTTGACGACCCTTGAAATTCAGAGGGAGGTTCTTCCTCGTTGTCGTTGAACTGCACGCTTGTTGCAGTTGAAAAACATCTAGACGCGGTCAAGCCGTTTTTGGCGACCGATACCCGGTCGGGAGATAATACGGACCTCAGCAAGTATCCAGTAGCAGCTTTTCTCATTTGCAGCAGGTTGCTCATCACCTCTGATGCAGCACAGAACAATCTAGCTGAATTTTGGCAAAATCTGTGTTTCTTGTACAAGGAAAACTTTGATGGCGAAGAGGAGCGCTTCTTTCCGAAATTCAAATGTTCCCAACTTCGAAGATTCAAGGTGCAAACTCCTTTCCTCAATGAAAATTGTAAAATCAAATTTGCCTCTGTTTCAGATCAAGATTAAATTGCCAAGATTCAAGCGAAAGTAATACCCAAGCAGAAAACGCAGTTCTAATAGACCTTGGAGGGGAAGTGAAATGTAGAAATCGAAACCTCGTTTGAAGTCGAAAACAGTAAAAGATATCTTGAAATACTCCAATCCCGATTCACGAATACAGGCGATAGTCTTGGACGAGAGCGAGCTCACGAAGAAAGGTCCAGGTGTGTTGAAATGAAATGAGCGCAATGGAACAAGGGGCTGGTTGACCTAGTCGGGGAGAAGCTGATGAGAGTCCGAACGAAGGGGGGTGGGGTGGGTGGCTTGTACCTGTACCGGTGCAATTTTCGATGAGGATTCTAGATGGGTGGGGTCTAGAGGGTGGTAGAGTTTACCTGGGTGGATGAAGAGCGATGGATGCTAGAGAAGGTGGGTGGGGGTAAATTGGTTCGAAACATCAAACTTGCTGAGTATGGTAGGGGTGTGGACTAGTACAGATAACAGCATGACATGGGGTTACTCCAGCACCCTACCCACATTATGTCAAGGTAGATTTGTTCTCCTCGAACTTTGGGGGGTAGGGGTGGCCTTCCAAACCCTCATATTCTTGGCAAGGCGGGGGTACAGTCATCCATGGGGGCACAGGGGGGTAGTAGCACAGAACCAACTAAGGTGAGATGATACCCTGACTTTATTAAGGGCTTGTTCGAGGAAATTAACCTCTATGCGTCACAATAAGTGCAACCATCAAACGGATTGAAAGGAGGGGTTCTACAAAACAAATTCACGAAAACATAGTTTTTCACTTCATAAAATCGTTGTGGGTCAGCAGGCCACACCCCGTCCCCCAATTGACCCCCTTTTACCCCAGTCAGCCCATATAGCGTTAGGTGGGTACTCCTTCCACCTACCACCTTTGCTGACAATTATGAAATCTCCCTCAGATACTCTCCAACCACCCCACGGACAACACCACCCCCTCACACAACCTGCACCAAGCTTTACTCAAACCTATCCTGCCCACTGCTGTTCCTCAAACTTTACTGATAATTTCACTTAACTGCGCGCTGGACCATTACTTCACCCCGCGCCATGCCCGCAATGTCGCTGTGGCCGCCGCCGAATGAGACGCATGCCGGCGTCTATCGCAGTGCGGCGGAAGGTCACCCGGCAATCCATGAAGAAACTTGTCAGCGGCAGCCACCAAGCTGATTGGCTGCTGCTCAAAAATCCCAAGGCTGGTATTTTCCATGATTGAGTGTCAGATCGTGCGCTGAGAGGTAAACTGAGACACAAGTTGATCAACCGGGTGGCCTGGTACTCGAAGTGAAGTAGAGAAGCTGGAGTGATGCGCCAAGAAAGATCTCTGGCGCTCAGAAGGGTCAGCCCGAATACTGCAGACCGAGGAAACTCCCTGAGGGATTGAGCTGTGAGCTCCCGCTGGGCGGGGATGAAAAGCATACTACCAGGCGTCCCAAATCAATCAGGCGAGAGGATCCAGTCATTGTCGCACGCCTGAGGAAGCTCCGCCAAGCTCCATCAAGTGTCTGTGAGTGTCCAAGAAGGCAGCCAGCATGGGGACAACATCCCCAGCGTCCGCCTGCTGCGGTTGGCGGATTCGAAGCTCGGTGTCAGAATTGATCCGGTGGAAGAGTGGCGGTGTAGGTAAAATCCAATGCTGGAAGATGGCAATTTCTCCCGCCCATTTGAGAAACTTGGCAGTCGCAGTCCAGAATGCGGTGTAGGCCAAGCCCTCCTGCGGGGCCGGGGTGAACCCATCCGATGATCCCCTCCAGCACTATAAGGCAACTGACGTTCAAACGGTTTGAAGTAGGCAAACTGAAGGTCGGACGGTGGGGTGTCAGGGGCAGGTTGCAGGTCGGATGAGCTCTCCGGTGCCTGTTGCTGAGGCCACTGAAACACCTTCGCAAGAAGACGGAGATTCGCGACTTCAAATCGCTTGCACCGTGGCACTTGGCAGCTGTCACTCAAGCATGGGAGATTGGGCAACGTAAGAAGTACTCAGGCACTGGCCCGGCCGGCCGGGACTGTAGGGTGGGAACGCGGCCGGTCGCCGCTTCAAGAGCTGTTGAAACCCACCGTGAGTGACGCAACTTGGGAAATGCCCGGTTGTTCCAACTCAGCCGGTCATTTCAGCGTTGACCGTCACAGTAGTACTGTGACCGCCGCCCGGGGCCCGGGGTCCGAGTCACGCCGGTGGCACTGGACTCTTTCCCCGTTGGCGGGCTGGCCGGGTACGCCGCACCGGCACGGTCAGGGCCGCGCAAGGCGGGGCCCGGCCGGCGGTACTACACTAGTGACGGCAGGCGGCAGACTACCCGGAACCGCACTGGCTGCAGCCTGAGGTGACTGAAGAGTTGATCACGTTACTTGAACGTGATAATGGCACCGTGATAGTTCATGGGCATTTTGAGGTGCGGGGGAACCTCGCCATAGATACATCCCACGCGATCATCTTTGGGATATCAATAGGTGAAAATGAGGTTGATTGAATTGAGCAGAGCGTTGCGAAATGTTAGGTATACTTGTATTCTTGGAATGATATGTACAATTTTTCTAGTGTATGATCAATGCATGAAGAGCCTGCACAGCCTGACAAAAGCAGCTGATGATTGGATCTTGCTTCGTAACCTCTCACAAACTTCCTCACGTCTGAATTGTTCTGGACCCTCCACAGTCAATATTGAGCATTTGAGTTTGGAAAGTTACTTAATGTTCAATGACAGTGAAAGCTTTCAACACTCTCTAACAACATGGCAGAATCCTCCAACCTGTGCAGGCAAACGATTCTTAGTTTTGTCTTGGTACTTTTCGAGTGGAGTAGGTTCCTTTCTTCATTTGCGTGCACTTTCGTTGCTTTATGGATTGGAAGCTGGATGTGTCGTTATCGATGATCCTGAAATGCAATGGGAATGGACACCAAAGTCATCACAGTTCTGTGGGACTAGGTTACCCGATTGCTATTTTCAACGATTATCTAACTGCACATTTAGTCCCGAATATATTCGTGCTGTACAAACAAAAAATATTAACAATTCCAACTTTATTTTTCTAACAGATGCAAGAGTGAGAAGTCTATACAATCATTACATGGATGTACCTCGGAATGGAGGGTTGTTTGGATTCTCAAAAAAACATCCGCACTATTGGATGTCACAACTGATTAGATATGTCGTACGCGTTCGCCCTTTCCTGTACAAACGATATGTTGAACCGCAAATTGTTAACCTATATCCCAAAGGTGTGCCATGCGATTTATTTTCTGTCTTCATTCGTCATGGCGACAAGTACCATGAAACAGAGTTGGTCTCGGTAGATGAATACATCCGCCTTCTGCAAAACCTCAAAGCGAAACATGTTTATGTGAATTCTGATAGTCAGCTGACGCTTGATTTTTTCATTAAAAGGAGTCGTGGCTTATTTGATCTGTATTATTTGAATGTTTCACGCCAGTCAAATGGAGCTGGACTATTGGGCGAACATGGCAAAATTTGGAATAAGATACTGAATTCAGATGACGTGTACTGGCACATGATTGACAATCTGAAAGAGTTGTATGTTTCAGTTCTGGCCAAGCTCATGATGGGGCAACTAGCGAGTAATTGGAATCGTTTGGGACATGAAATTCATGATTCATACGGCCTTGCACAATACCGATACATTCATGTTGGACCCTGCGAAAAAGACAGAAGGAATGTGATGGATTGCATTGGTATTTGACGATCATGTCTCCAGCGGTTCATTCTCTTGAGTAGCCCTCGAATTCGGTGGCAAAGGACGTGCAGTACAGGGGCTGCTGAGAATCTTCACAAAAAAACTTTTTTGTGCAATGCATTCCAAGTTCTGATGATAGAGTGAGAAGCTGTCAAAAGCGAGAGCATCTCTGAGTTTTTCACATCAATCATTGATATACTCTACACAGGTTAGTCCTTCAGTACAACATTTTCAACTCAACACAATGTAGTGGCAGTGATATAAAAAATTTAGACTAAATGAATGGATCCAGACAAGAGGCATTGTTGTTGCAAGTCCCTAAATGTTAAACAAATTGAATTTCAAATTCACAAAGGGTGTTGGGGACATCTGACAGTAGCACCGTAAACAGGCTTGGTGCAGGGCAAACGTGGGCCTCAACCCCCGACGATTGGATCTCAGTGGGTGTCTGAAGGTCCAGTGTGGGGGGCGGCCAAACTGCGAAGCTTCACAGTTCAATCCGAGTGAAATGATCCCCGGCGATCGCAAGGCAGCACTTAAAAGATGGCAGTACAGTGCGGCAAGCAATCATCCAGTACGAAACTTTCTGAAACAGTCATGTAATGGTCGGGGAGGTTAGTAACTAGCAACCACAACTGTGCACCCGGGCATAACCCCTGGGAGTCCAAGTCGAGATATCTGATGCTGAGCTATGTTTATTTCTCTTGAATGAACAACTTCATAGAAAAGCCACGGCCAGGAATCTGACGCATTGAGGCTGTCATCTTTAATCGAATCAAAGCTTTGGATATTCTAGACGCTTTGTGAACTGCAATTAGTGAGAATGCCCAGAAATGTCATATTCCAGCGAATAAGGAAATGTGTCACAATCAATTATCCATGATTTTGTTGTGATCAAATTTACCAGGAGTAATCAGTTTTACAAGCTTTTATGAATCAATACTACAATCACAATTTACGAGCGGTTGTAGAAGTAGTCCCAGTGGTTGCGAGCACGGACCCAGTCGTCATAGGCAGCAGCATCGTTGGCCTTGTAGTAGGTGTCAGCAGAGGCATTGTAGAGCTGGCGGGCCTGGGCGTTCTGGCCGGCGGCCTTGGCGTAGAGCGCAGCAGCAGTCTGTCCGTAGAGGGTCTGGAACATCTGGACGAAATGATCAGATGAAATTGAAAAGAACTCGTAAGCAGACAAATGAATGCGTTCAAATATTTGTCAAGACTTCAGAATCAACAAGGAAACAGGATGTTACACATATAGCTCTGCCATGCATACACATTACACCAACAGCTCTGCGATGAATATGCGGTATATCAAATGCATGGCTCACCTCTGGTTTGAGAAACTTTGCCTCCTCCCCTCTTTTTGTGCCCCCTGTGCTATTTCGGGTGCGCTCACCCCCACCCTCTGATTTCCTGGGGGTACCCCTACAATACCCCATAAGTACCCCAAAGCTCTGTTGCTCTATTCCTGGCGTCAAGTTATTTTCAGGTATTATCCTCGAATATTATTGATAAATTTGAAATCATTGGAAAAATAATCAAATATCTCTAATTTGACAAATTGTACACATACATCGTAACCGTTCACTGATACATCATAACGGAATGTAGCTCAGTCATCACCCTCATCCCCACCCTCAAGACCAAGAGAATTTGTTTCTGGAATAGCTTCTGCCTCTTAAATTTGTAATTTCAAAATAAATTTTCAAACTGCTGAAATGGTTTAGGAGCTCATTCCTGAACTCATACAGCGCGGTGCTCCCGAAATACTGCTTGGACCGAAAATGGCAGAAGCATATGCAAGGACGAGAAGTCGCGGGCTCTCTTTACCCTTCCTCTTGCAAACTCCCTCACACTTCATCCCGCTCCTCTCGTATCCAATAGCTATTCCATGCTCGGTGTTCTTCGACAACTAGTGCTGCTTGTCCATCGAATACTTCTCCTCCCTCAACCGCAACCATCCAGCACTCTCCTTCCTGTCAACACTGCTGCACTCTCCCTGTCAACACTACTGCTCTCTCCTCCTTCCTCTTCATCAATCTGCTCACTCATTTTGTCTCTGAACTCTTCCCTCATTAATCCTATGCTATTGCTTTTGGTTGAAATTTATTCCTTTTCATTGCGAATTCTTGATTTTCTCCTCATTCGGGATATTTCCGGCTCTGACCAAATGCTTCATTGACATTAAATTTTGTTCCAATGGGCCTGATATTACTTGTTGTTTCGTGGATGAAGAGCGTAGCCACTGTTTTCAAACTAGTGGACGTAGACGTAGATCAAGGTTGGAAGCAGATTTGAAGTGTCATCACTGAAAGCCGGCCTAACAAGGGTTGAGATAGTGAATCTCACTGGAATATGCTGGTGCAGGTCAGAGGCCAGGGATACAGTTGGCAATCCTATCCGCGGAGCTCGTCGTATTCAGCGCGCTACCATGAATATGACCTCGCAGTACGAGGTGGAGGCTAGCAGGGGAATCATTCTGTTCATGACTTGTGTCTCTAGGTCTTGATTGACTCTAGGAGATCGCGCAGTGAAGGCTTGCTGACACGGCAGGGATGGAGAAGCCTCTTGTCAGGTGCTCCGTGTGCGGCTGCTCGTGTCGCCTCATGTTGCCTGCAGTCGCCGGAGGTTTGGGGCTGCTTCTTGTAGTCTTCTCTCTGCATGCAAAGTCTGCGACATTGAGTGCGGCAAACATCAAGAGTTCAGCGAGCAGAGCTGTCGGTTCTAAGATGCAAGTGAAGAAGGTCTCCCTCCAAGAGGGTCAAGCTGCTGAGGTTCTCGAGTTGTCTTCGCCCATGATGTATGACGCATGTGAGTAGGGGTCCGGCGAGGGTTCGGCTGCTCCTGCTCAAGATGGAGCGGGCGAGGGTGACGGTCAGGGACAACCCTACTTTGGGCAGTTTGAGATTCCAGCTGGATTGGAGGATGAGGATGAGGGGGCGCCCTGTGCTCACAAGCTTCCCAACGGTGAAGGTGAGGAGGAGGGGGGCAGGTTGTGATGCCCTGCTGTAGGGCAGTGTGAACCTCGAGGGAGTCAAGACATCGAGCTCAGCCCTCAGGCGGGCCTCATTCTTGTCTTGTGTGCTTTCATCCCAGCTGTTGCGTCGTTGATCTACTGGATCCGTGAGCCCTCAAACGTGAGCAGCAGGGACAGAGGTGGATGCGAGGCGGCTGATTGTGAATTACAGGGTTTGGAGGGCCTCCTCGAAAACTACAAGTTTCCCGAGGAGTTGTGAAGAGTGTCTGCAGTGCTCTCGTTCTTCTCTTCTTGTAACCTATTCAAATAGTCGATCTTCTCATTATTAAATTTGCTTAGAGTTTTGATCCGGGCTGCTGGGAATGAGCTCGACTAAGATTTCGTGTTTGAATTTTCCCCGTTCTGCATCTTCAAACGACATGCGCATAGCAAACAACCCGGGAGGCTCTGGAGCGGTGGAACTACTTTCCGCCTTGGGCATGGAGAACTGGCTGAGGTCAATAGCAACGCGAGCAATATTCTTCAGCCTGCTTTCCGCAATCACAAGATGTGGCAGAGATTCACTGCCATGTACCTGCTCACGATCTCTCCAACTTCCCCTCGCCCTTGCCCTTGTGTCCCCAAACTTGCAGCCTCCCAGCCCTCTTCCGGATCATACCTCAACGGCTGTGAGCAGACGGCAGGCACAGGACAACGTACCTTGCTTCCAGCAGGATCTCGACGCCCCCCCTACCTCCTGTCTGTCCTCCTTCCATCGACTGTCCACCTTGCAAGTTGACAGGCTGTAAGATCATCACTCACTGGAGCAGCAAGGGTGTGGAGACCGCGAGGCAGATCTTGACGGGCGAGTCCGTGGGGTTACGGAGGACAAGCAGAGCACGGCTAGTAGAGGGATGAACCTCCTCGACCTCAAGGCTCCAGGCGTGTCAGGAGGTGAGCAAGAGGCTTGACAAGTGAACCTGGGTATGAGCATCGATGCATTGTGATTAACACTGAGAAGAAGGTAAGCAGACAACGAGGAACAGCAGAAAAAAATAGTGTTGCTGCTGGTGCGGTAAACATGTGTCCCACCGGAATCTAGCAGAAGAATTGCTCGAGTCGAACTTGCGAAGGATGCGTTTGCAAGCAGCACAGCGGCGGAGAGACCTGAGGCTCCAGGGTGAGAGAGCAGGAAGAGAGCAAGAGGTCACGCTACTAGCCTGCAAGCAAGCGGGCAACGGAGAGGCGTCAGGCTCGCGATATCGTTGTCTGTAAGTCTGCAGAGGAGGCTTCACGCATTCAGCACAGCGAGTTGATCTCTGCCTGCTTGCCGCATGCCTCTGAGCGATCGTTGCCCTCCTTGCAGGAACAGCACGTGCACTTTCCAGCTGGATAGATATGTCAAACTTGCTCGCCTTGCTCGCCAGCAGAGCAGAGGTCCAAATTTACCTGCACCGGATGATTCTCCTCTACCTCCTCCCCATCCTTCCTGGGGGCGTAGACTGTCGGCTGCATCTCCACACTCAGACTTTCCTGCGGTTGACAGCTCGACAGCTCGTAAACTTTCAAGTACCGGACTTGCTTGCAACGTACTGATGAGCTTGTTGAACTCCTGCAAGTACATAGTCCACAAAGAGGTACAAGAGGAGGTGCAGGTGCAGGTGCAGCAGTAACAGAAATAAGCAGAACAGGAGTGGCAGGAGGCAGGAGGATTAGGATGATACAGGAATGAAGCGTCCTGGGACCTGCAAGCAATCGTCGTTTCTCTCCCTCTTGAGACTGTTCAGAACAAGAGCTGAAGGATCTTCCGCGTGCCATCCGCAGTCGACTGACTCCCACTTGCAGAATGTGCAGGAGAAGAAGGCACGACCTGCAACCAGTGATGCTCAGCGCCGACAAGACCAGGGGGCGAAGACCTGAGGAGGAAGAGACCGTAGAAGTCTGTAAGAGGGTCTCGCAAAGGGGGCAGATGAAGCACTTGGTGCATCTGCAGAGCAAGAGAATGAGGTGGAGAAACACTGAGAAGTGTTTCACTTGTGAGAGAAGATCCGAGCCTCTTCCTCCTGCACTACCTCCAGGCAGCTCGGACAGAACAAGAAGTCCACCTCCTGCCATCAACTCCGTCACCTCCCCGTTCTTCCTCCCCTTGAAAGCCTTCACCTCTTGCACCTCTTGCATACTTTTGAGCGAGAGATTTCCTTCTTGACTTGTGCAGTTCTGCGATGAATTTAACGACAAATTGACCTTTGCTTCTTGCTCTGCTTGACCTCCCTAACCCTCAAACCTGTTATCCGCCTCCCTCTCCACAGCTTTCATCCTGGCCGGTGAAGAGAGCCAGCCACCTCACTGTTCGCTTACTTCCTCTTTCTGCTCTTCTCTTCTTCCCTCCTCCTCCTCCTCCTCCCTACCTGGCATACATACAGTCGCTCAAGCTCGCGCCTCCCGCCATAGCGCACTTCCATCGGATCCGGGCCCTGAAAGCTCCTTTTCTACTGGAGCCCTCATCCCCGCTCATTGCATCAACATCGTCGAGGCTGGTCGCCATGGCAGGGGCGGCAGAGGCGCTGAAGCGATTTGAGATGGAGAATGGCGTGAGCATGGTGGACGGGGACGGAATCTATCGCTTCGACGCTGCTGAACAGACCAAGCTGCGCGAGCAGAAGCCTTGGAGCAAAGAGTGAGTGCAGCCGCATGTACAGTGAGAGTTTGCTGGCGGCAGAAGGGGATGAGGTTTTGTTTACGGGTTGGGGCGATTTCATGCAACATTGTTGTTGTAATCTTGCACTCTTACATGAATTACGAGCAGCGCTACCTACTTCCAAAAAGTGAAGATATCTGCGCTTGCTTTGCTGAAAATGGTACGTTGACATCAACTGCTTTTTCTTCATCAACAGCTGCATATGACTCTCCTCAAGGCTATGCATGCTCGCTCCGGTGGTCAGCTGGAGGTTATGGGAATCTTGCAGGGTATGTAGATGCAGAGGCGCGAAGAGTCTGATGTTAGGGTGATGGCAGGGAAACTAGAAGACAAGACGTTTGTTGTCATGGACGCCTTCGCGCTGCCCGTGGAAGGAACAGAGACGAGAGTGACGGCGCTGGATGAAGGATACGAGTACATGGTTCACTATCAGACCACTTGCGAGCGAACAGGACGAGTAGAGCCGGTGAGAGGAGCAGGGAGCTGAAGCTGATAGAGGGCGAGGAAAGTGTTGAATGCTGATAGAAAGCAACTTAGGTTATCGGGTGGTATCACAGTCATCCGGGATACGGCTGTTGGTTGTCAGGTGAGCTGTTTAATGAGGCTGCCAACCTTGTGAAGGCTGTGCAGGGATCGACGTCAGCACGCAGACGATTCACCAGCAGCATGAGGACCCTTACCTGGCGATAGTGGTAGCAGAGATGGAGGTGGTAGAGACAATGCATGAGTTGCTCTCAGGTTGACCCGGTCAGAACCATGGCTGCTGGCAAGGTTGACGATGCAGATGATGACAAGAGAACAACGTGCCCTGACAGGTTCACACTAGGTTGAAATCGGAGCCTTTCGCACCTATCCGCCCAACTACAAGCCGCCAGATGCGGTGGGACTTGGTCTTTTACTGTTGAGAGTAAGCTTGACGACCCTCCAGGCAGCGTCTGAGTATCAGACCATTCCGCTTGACAAGATCGAAGACTTTGGTGTCCACGCGAACCAATACTATCCTGTATGCACACGTGGTGAGATGGGACAACACTCATCTTGTATGGCAGTTGGACATCTCCTTCTTCAAGTCGTCTCTGGACTCTCACCTACTTGTGTGTTGCTGCTTACTTTTCGCCGCCATGCTTGTGACGCTGTGACAAGGCGCTGCTGTGGAACAAGTACTGGATCAGTACGTTGTCGTCGTCGTCGCTTGTCTCGAACAGAGACTACACCACGAGATCGATCAAGGACTTGTCGGAGAAGATGGACCAGGTGGCTGCCTGTTCTTGTCACCTCGTTTCTTATCGCAGTTGACAACTACCCAGGCGGAGTCTCAGCTGAGCTACAGCAGCAGAATGGCGGGGTATTACCTCCCCGGCGACAAGAAGTCGGAAGATTCTCAAGTTTCCAAGATGTGCAAGGACGGGACCAAGATTGCTATCGAGCAGCTACAAGGGCTCATCACTCAGGTCATTGTGATTGATGGAAGAGCCTCTGCATGAGCCTGAGCTTGCAACGACAGGTGGCCAAAGACAAGCTCTTCAACATGCGAATCAAGGGAGTGGAGATGACAGACTCATGAGGGTTGTGCGGGTTTGTCGAAGAGACGTGACTTCACTGCATCAGCAAACACCGATACGTCAAAGAAGAACACCGATACTCCAAAGAAGAGTCTTTGATATTGTGTTCAAGAGCATTTGCGACCGTCTGTTGCCGGTGCAAGGGTGTCCAAGGTTTCCTGGTCAAGCATAAAGACGAGACAGTCGCCATCCGCCATGATGTTGAACTCTCTGGTCACCTCCGCACTCCACATCTCCTGTACATCCTGTGAGATGATTTCATGCCCAACATGTGCTTACCCCCAACACGTCTCCAGGACCGTACTCGCACTCGTCAGCGTCAAAGCAACGGGCTTCTCCTTCGATGAGAACGTAGAGCTTGTCCGCCGCTTGTCCTTTGCCGACGATGACATCCCCGTCCCTGAAGCTGCGGGGAGAGTGAGCAAGAAGAGAGCAGAGGTAGCAGACTTACCGCGTGAGCTGCACAGAGTCAAGGATGTTGGTCATGACGTCCGGAGGGAGGCCAGACATGGCAGGGACTTGAGACAGCAGCTGCTCTGTGATAGATTTCTCGTACTTGGCGATCGATTTGATGAAGGTCTGGATGCTTCGTCTGTGCACCTGCCACAACCAACAGGTCTCGGACTCCACTAAGATGCTCGCAGCACGAGGCTGATTGTGCATCAGCGCAAGCTCCCCGAACGAATCGCCGGGGCCATAAGTTCCTTTGAACAGCGGAACGTCTCCTCCACCCTCTCGCTTGAGGATGCTCAGCTTGCCGCTTTGGACCACGTAGAAGATGTTGCCTTCATCCCCCTGCTGGATCACTACCTCCCCCTTGCTGTATCTCCCCAGAGCAAAGGCCTCGGCAACGAGCTCTTGGTACTTGAGATCGAGCTCTCCAAACAAGATGTTCTGAGCAATTGCTTTCATCAGCATTTCTTTGTCACTTCCGGGCGTTTCTAAGAAGTCTTCCGGCGCTGGCATGCTTTCAAGCTGTACTATAGAGGCTCGTCGCACGTTCTTGTCTTTGATAAACTTCCTGCTGTCCAGCTCATCCTTGTCCAGATCAACTTCAGAGCTCACGCTCGAGCGTCTTCCTGTCTTGGTGACGTACTCAACTCTACAGTTGTCATTCATGTTTATGCCCAGGTATTCATCTTGAATCATCACGGGCATGCTTGCTTACACGAACAAGACGAGCAAGAGGGAAGGAAGGTTCTCCTTAAGAAGCAGCTGCACAAGCTTGCAAGTAGAAGTTGATTGAGAAGCACAGGAGGGCAGGAGAGGAGGAGGAGGAGGAGGAGAGGCAATGCTCCATTTGACCGCTCCTTCGACACCACCCCTCTTTCTACCCCCTACCCCATCTGACACACATCAACCCTTACTTATACCAGTGATTTGATGAGCAATACACGGGTGCATTTACTACCTCCACCGTACTTAGTACCCCACCCCCTCAATGGTCCTCACAAGTTTGTGGGACCGGCAGGCAATCCAACCGTTACGAATATGAAACGTTCAATGTGAAGTGTAACATTCGGGGAATTACGGTTGAACAACGGCTAGGAATGGCGGACGAGGAGGAGGGGGAGATAGACGTGCGAGGGTTCCGGATAGATCGATGGGACGCGGATGACGACATGCTGGAGCAACTTCAGTCAAGGTGCGATGACGTGTCCTCCCATGCTGATGGCCTGCCACTTTGCGTTAGAATCAGCGACGATGCGATGAGAGCTTGCTCGCTTGTCAAGACCTCAACGCATGTCATAACTGAAGTTTCTGCAGGTGTGGCTTGTGTAGAACGCATGGCATTGTCATCGTCGGAAAGCCTGCTTCAGGGAAAGCTACACTGGCGGGGAAGCTGGCAGAGAAAATAGGGGCGATTCATATAGGGTTCCCTCAGATCTTGGAGGAGGCCCTTGAAACCTATGCGATGCACAATCAAATGTCGGAGTTGCGGGCAATGGTGGAGGGGTTTCACAAAGAGAAGCAGGTTCAGGGCGAGGGGGGAGAGGGGGAGAGGGAAGGGGAAGGCGCAGACGTGGACACGGGTGGTGGTGAGCCAAGAATGTCAGAGGAAGAGTATGAGGCGAAGAAAGGAGAACTGGACGAGCTCGAGAGGTTGTGGCAGACAAAACGATGGTGCGAAGAATATGCTACAGCTGCAGATATGCTGCTCTCAGGCAAGAAAGTCGATACCGACACACTCATGCTCCTCCTGCGAGCTCGCCTTCGCTTCCCGGATGTCGGTTTTCGGGGGTATGTCTTCGACACGCTGCTGCCAGGAGTTGAGCTCGAGCTCTTTCAGGAGCTCGAGCTCCCCCGCTTGGACTTCATCCTGCACACTGTCATGAGCGACGAAGACGTGCTCACGCGCATCGCCGGGCTCAAGCTTCACCTGCCATCGGGCCTGCTCTACTCAGAGTCTGACTTGACGCCCGGGATTCACCAGGCGCTGGTTCCCGCAGAAGCAGGCGAGGGAGAGGATCCGCCTGTTGATGAGGAGGGGCAGCCACTGATGGTCCGCTGGACGCCTCCTCCCGAGCTGTTGATGTCGCTGGTGCGACGGGAGGAGGACGAAGGAAAGACGCCGCAGGAGAGGCTGGCGAGGTATTACGAGAGGATGAGGAGCAGAGACTTTGGGAAGGTGATGGAGGTGACGCTGCCGTCTCGCGTGATGGGGTTGGACGCGAATCAAAGCCCTGACAAGCTTCTCCGCTGCGCTCTCCTCGCCCTCAACTTTGACCGCTGCCCCATCGTTCATCCTCCCTTGCCCGTCAGCTTTGAAGAAGGCGAGGACCCGTCCTTAGCCCTGGCGCTCAGCAAGGGAGTGGCTGAGATAGCGGGAAAGCGCTCGCTGTCTCCATGGGGTCACTTCTGCCCGGTGGCACTGGTGGAGGAGAAGAAGATGCTGGTAGGAGACTCGAGGTTCGCCACTGAGTTCCTCGGAAGAATTTTCCTGCTCTCTTCTTGGGTCGCCCAACAGAAGTTTATCGACGATCCTGCCACGTACACCTCTTCCCCTCCTATGCCTCCGAGGATGCGCGTCATGGTGATCGGTGCGCCAGTGACGGGAAAGAGTGCAGGTATGCGGATTGACGTGTGTTTGTTTGCTGCTTCTCACTCCTCTCTCACCTGTCCAGTCGCCAACTGGATCGCGAGCAAATACTCTGCGAGGAGGTTGGACTGCTTCAAGCTCGTTGAGCTCGCAATGGCTGAAGGGGGGGGGGGGCTGGAGGCGGAGGCGCGAAGTTGTCTGCTGTCTGGTGAAGAGATTCGAGGAGACCTGATGATGCAGATATTAGGGAAGGAGATGGGCATCGAGCTCCAAAAAGGTGTGAAGTGAGGAAATGGTCGAGGAGGTGGATGACGAGTGTGTTTGCAGTAACTGTGAATGAGGAGGACGAGGAGGCAAAAGCGAAGCTCAGGCTTGCAGCACTGTCGTCGGAGGGGCCAGGAGGGGAATGGGGTCAAGCGCCTACGGGTCAAGGAGAGCTTAGCTTCGTGCTTGATGGGCCCCCGCTATCTCCTGACTTTGTGCACGCCCTCGCCGCTCACCAGCTGCTGCCCACCTGCGTCATCCTCCTTGAAGACTCGGAGGAGCCTGTTGGGCGCGTGAGGACGGATGCAGCGAAGGTAAAGAGAGGGAGGGGAGGGAGGAGGAGAGGAGTTGATGGGCGGCTGTAGGCGGGAGATCTCTACTGGGACCTTGGGAGGGAGGCGACGCTCGAGAGAACGACGGGCACACAATTTCCCTTCGCAGGGGCGGGAAGTTTGCAGCGAGCGAGGATGGAGGAGGTTACGAGCTTGTTAGAAGCTGCTGGGTGCCTGGTCGTCAAACTTCCTGCATCCCTCCCACTGCAGGAGCTGCAGGAGGCTGCGGCTGCTCGTGTCGATCCCTTCGTCTATGGATTTGTTGCTTCAGAGGATGCGAGGGGAGCGAGGCAGGTGGAGTGGGAGCCGGAGGGGAAAGAAGAGGACGGGGAGGAAGGGGAGCGAGCAGGGCTACAGGTACTCGGGTACCTTGGCAAGTTCTGCCCGGTGACGTGGAGGCGACAAGGAGCACTGATTCCGGGGAAGGAGAGCTTTGCGGCGGACTGGAGGGGGAAAATTTATCTTTGCCGCGGGCAGGAGGAGCTTGACGCTTTCCTGTTCAACCCTTCCTTCTTCGCTCCTGTGCCTTCCGCTGCTCCTGAGTTTGTCCTGGGCAGCCGCGAGCCTCTCCTTCCACCTGCTCGGGTGATGCTGCTGGGGGCGTTGGGGTCAGGACGGAGAGAGCGAGCTGAGGAGATGGCCCGGCACTTCGGTCTCAACGTTCTCAACTTGCAGTCGCTGCTGCCTCCCAAGCCTCCAGCGAAGGCGGAGGAAGGGAGCGAGGAAGAGGAAAGAGAATGGACCGAGGAAGAGGTGGAGGAGCTCGTGCGAGGGTTAAAAGCTACTCTGAGCTCTCCCCCGCTCAGCGAGCAGGCTGTGCTGCTGGAGGGAGAGCCGCTGGCTGAGGGTTTCCTGGAGGCTCTGCTCAGAGAGAAGCTGCACCCTCACCTCGCCATCTTCATCGAGATGGGCGACGAGGAGGCGGTGCGAAGGCTCTACGGGAGCAAAGACGTCCTCCGCTTCCCTCGCCCCCATCGCCTGCCCTTCTATCCCTTCCTCGACCCCCGCAGGCAGCGGAGGGAACTGCGAGCGCTGAGACACCTGGGCATTGAGGCGCCGAATGCCAACCCGCGAGATGAGGAGGGGAAGCCGAAGGCAAAGCCGTCGGGAGAGGAGCTGCTGGCTGCCGCTCAAGAGGCCGAGGCGGCGGTGAAGCGAAAGATCGAGGAAGAGAACAGCAAAGCGACGGGTCAGCTGGAGGCGATGGCAGCTCGACTGGGAGAAGAAGAGGTGAAGGTTAGGAAGATGCAAGCAAGCGCATCAGAGGAGAAGCAGGAGCGATGGCTGCAGAGGGTCATAGGTAAGCTCCTTGCTCACCCCCAGTCACTGCTCGCTGCTCCACTTCCTCTTTCTCGCGAGAAGGCAATTACCCTCCTCGACACTCGCGTCCGCCGCCTCTCCAAGTTCGGCATGGTGTGTCCAGTGAGGCTGCTGGAGGAGGAAGGGGTCCTCGCGCCCTCCTGCATCAGCGACCTCAACTTCGCCGTCGCCTACGGCCCTCACATCTACCTCTGCAAGGACGCACTTGCCAGGCGCAGCTTTCTTGCCGATCCTGTTCGCTTTGTGCTGCAACCCCCTCCTCCTCCTCCCGCCTTCCAGCGCATCGTCGTGCTTGGACCCCCCAAGAGCGGTCGCTCCTCGCTAGCAGAGGCGATCGCTGCTGACCTCGGCCTTGTGCTCCTGACGCCGGCGCGGGTCGTGCGTGAGGTGCTGGAAGATGCTTCTTCGCTGGCAAAGAGGATCGGAGATGAGCTGAGAAAGGGCCTGGAAGTCTCCGAGGAGCTTCTGGGGCAGGCAATCTGTGCGGCAGCTCATCGTTACCCCGGGTGGGTGCTGGATGGTTTTCCTCGATCGCAACAGCAGGCGGAGAAGATGGAGGAGGCGGATGTTGGGGTGACGTCAGTCATCCTGCTGAAGCTCGAGGACAAGGCTTGCAGGGAGCGAGCGACTAAGGAGCTCATGCGCAGAGGCGAGGACGGATTCTTCGAGAGACCGAGGAGGAGGAGGATCGCAGCAGATCCCGAGGAAGAGGAAGCGGAGGAGAAGGTGGAGGAGACACCTCCTCTGTTGACAGGAGAGGAGGCGGTCAGGGAGGCGCTGGCAAGCCTCTCAACAGAGCGAGCAGACAGCGAGATGCAGGCGATCAGGAGAACCTTGACGAGGGACAAGGACGTGGAGGAGGTGGTGGATGCCAGCCGGAACCGAACGAGCGTGCACCGGCAGGTGCTGGGCGAGCTGAGGCGGGCGGCGAAGGGGAGGCAGGAGTACCTAATGAGGAGGGAGCTAAAGCATCCAGCACCGCTGGCGGAGCAGAGGCGCTGGATGAGGAGAGAGGACTTGAAGGAGAAGAGGGGCAACTTCTGCGTGAAGGAGGAGGATGGAAGTATCATTGGCGATTATTGCCCCGTCGCCTGGAAGCTGGAGGAAGAGCTTGTTCTCTGCTCACCCGACGCGCGGCTAAGCAACATGCTGGAGGTCGCTGGTCGGTTCTTCTGCGCCTCCCCCAAGCACTTGCTCGAGCTTATGACCTCTCCCTCCTACTACCTTCACTCCCAGACGCTCCCTGATCACGTTCCTCGGCGACTGGGGGAAGGAGAGGCAGCGAAAGTCGGAGAGGAGAGCTTGGAGTACAGGGGCTACTGCCCCGTCACTCTGCTCGATGGCCCAGGAGAAGATGCTGTAAGTGTGCGACCCTGACATCTCCTCCTAACACACGAGCAGGTAACGGGACAAAAGCTGCCTATCCAAGCAGCGCTGCTCAAGGTGACGAGACGCTATGCAAACCCTCTGACACCCTCCTGCTTCCACCTGCCTTTCCCGCTACCTCATGGCCTCTCGTTGACTGATTGATGGCAGCCCTCGTATGATGCTCCGCTGGCTGAGCGAATGTACCTCGTCAAGTATCAGGTGCGAGGGCGAGAGGGAGGCAGACAAGAGTGAAGTGAGAGCAACAGGACAAGATTTACCGCATGTTGACCGAGGAAAAACTGGATCGCTTCATGCGCAAACCTTGGAACTTTGTCAACCTGAAGCTTCCTGTGAAGCTGGTCCGCCATCTCCTTTCCTCCCTCCCTGCTCCCTGACTTGATTGTCACCTGCAGCCTTTCGACAAGCGGCCGCTCGACCTCGCCTCCCTGCCGCTGCCCGGCTACCTCGAGCATGCCGTGGTACAAGAACTCACCGCTGCTCTCCTCGCTGTGGGTCAGAAGCGACCCAAGTTCCCCGGTGAGCATGTTGGCCGCGCAAGGCTCGCATGCCTGAGCAGCCGCAGGTCTGAGCTCAGAGCAGTCAGCTCTGAAGCTCCTCGCCCTCCTCCTCCGCTCGCGTAACCGCCGCAACAACACCGTCGACAAGGTGAGACGCCTCAGCTCGCCTGACCCTGACGACCTAGCAGCGACTCCATGGGATGAACTTGGAGCTGTATGTTGGAGCTTGCGATCTGCTAGTAAGAGACGCTAAGGTGAGGACAGGTTGGAGAGGCAAGGGGGGAGTGGGGGGAAGGTGGGGGGGCAGAGAGCTGCAGAGCATGTGAGGGCAACAACGTCATGACCAGATGTGCAGGATGCTCAGCTACCGACGCCTGTACTGGCCGAAAGCGACGTGGTGGAAAGATACTTGAGTCTCGTAGAAGGAGGGCCCAAGGGTTGCGTGAAATATTGATACCATGACTTATTGAAATGAAGCCTCACTCTCCCTCCCTCGCCCTCTCCCTGTCTTGACCTCCCTCTCAAACTTCTTCGACACGATTTCTACGACGAGGAGGACTGAACAAGGGCGACGAGTGCGGCAGGCTCTCTGAGCTCAAGTTCTGGTAGCTCCCGATGCTCGCCATGAACTCTCGCACAGTTTCCAGCCCTCCCTCGAGCATCCGAGCCGTCGCTTCTCCATGCGCGTGTCCCGCGTGACGCGACAACTCCTGCCGCGGTGTTAGCACAAGAGGGAGCAAGTAGCGGCAATGCCTGCAGGAGGTAATCGGAGCGCGAGAGGATGTCTCGGGCAGTCTTATGCTGCTTCTCGCTGAGGCCCGGGTAGGAGGAGCAGCCCTTGGGAACAGAGAGGAGAAGAGGCACTTGCGTGAGGAACCCGTTGATGCGCTTCAGATCCTCGTCGCTCACGGCTCGCCCACTCCCTCCGACCCTCTGACTCAGCTCCTCATCCTCCGTCTGACTGAGAATGTTCAGCTTCATCACAAATGGCTCCACGAGGCCCTCAAACTCCTGCTGCTCTGTCAGTAACCCGCCTTGCTTCCATGCCATGCACCTGGTAGAGCCGCAGCCTCCTTCTGTCCCACTCCTCCACCATCGCCTTCCGCTCGATGCCATCGATCCCAATCCCGAAGGATTCAATGGTGGGCCGGCAGAGCTCCAGGCATTCTTTCATACGGCTCTTCGACTTGATCATCCTCTCTGCATCCGTGTGCGCTCCTTCCTTGACCCGCTGCGCCTCAAGCGCCTTCACCTTCTCACTGTCTGCTCCGGGGTCCAACTGCTCCCACCTGCGGTGATACTTCTCGATGCATTCCTTCTCCTCCCTAGTTGCGTACTCCACCTGCGCCATTTTGCGGTCGATCAAGTCGCCCAAGGCTTTCTCGGTGATGGCGAAGACTTCGCACACCTCCGTCACAAACTGCCTCGTGTCGTTGCTCACGATCTGCTTCCAGGGCTCCCAGCGACAGTCGATGTATTGCCGGACGTTGTTCAGCACGTCACAGTACTTGTCGCAGCTGATGATGCTCTCTTCTAGATTGCGGCGGTGCTGGTCGATATGCTCCTTGACGTCCTTGATCAGCTGCTGGTCCACCTCTTCCTGCTAGGAGCGTCAGGGGCGCGCAAGACCTTAAGGGCTACCTTGAGCTTGGCGATGATGTACTCCCTCTCGGCTTCAGCAGCTTTCCGTTGAGCATCCATCAAACTATCCCAGCAATGTTTCACGTGCTCGTTTGCTGTGTCCAACTCTTGCAGAGCTCGTTTGTGGCTGTTGCTACTTGCGCGAGCTTGAGCATGCAGGTGGCTGAGGACGCTGTCGGAGTGGTTCATCTCGTTGAGCACGTTGAGGTCGTTTTGCCAACGTGCTCGTTGCACCTCAATCTCTCGCAGCTTCCCTTCGAGGCTTGAGATCGCCAGGCTATGGGGAGGCTCGTAGTCGTCTGTGTCCAGCGGGTTGTTGGGGTCGTAGGCTGCGTTCATCATCTTCTTCGCTTCCGCGTAGGTCTCAAGGCGAGACAAGAGGTTGGAGCTCGCGTCCTCCACTGCTCGCTCAATCTGCTGCACCAGGTCTAACGCTCTCTGCATCTTCCGCTCTCGATGAGACGCTTGGAACTCGTTGTACAGTGATTGCATGTACGCGGGGAACGAGGTGCTGTCGTTGTCTACGTTGAGCTTGCTTTGCAGGTCTGCCTGCTTCTCCTTGCACTTGATCATCTGCTGAGACATCACTGGAGGTCGAGCAGCAGCTCACGTCTCATGCCTGCATGAAGGGCGTGTTGACGGCGATTCGAATTGAATCAATGATGTCCTTCTCGGCTGCTGGAATCTCAAGCCCCTGCAACTCCATCACAACAATGCTGACCGCGACATACACCATAACACGCTTGCATCAACAATCACCATAACACGCTTGCATCAACGAATCACCATAACACGCTTGCATCAACAATCACCATAACACGCTTTGAGTGAGAAAAGAAAGGACCTTGAGCTTCTGCAGTGCTCCTTCTAAGTAAGGAAGTGCATTCAAAATGCCTGACTGCCACTCTGTATACTTGGGATTCGTGGTGTAACTTTTTGCGTTCTCAATCAGGCTGGAATGTGAATTACTCTTGACAAAGAAACCTTGTCAGCATAAATCTTACCTGGGCAGATGTCGATATTCTACCTTGCCCGTCATCTGCTCCAAATCAGGATCTTCGTACACAGAGGGAGATCGTGACTAACTTGAAAGTAAGATGTGTCCGTGTTGATATTAGCCAAGGATCGCTTGCAGCAGTCTGCTAGCACATCGTCGTATTTCGACAAATGTGCTTGTCTTTCATAATGTATTAGAAGTCGAGGACAAGAGGCTTGAAGAACCTCACCGCTCGCTCATCTCTATGGACTTCTTGATGTTTTCGACGTGCGAAGTCCATGATTGAAGAAAAATCCTTTTAGCATGTTCAACGGAGATGTTGTCATGATCTGATAAGGACAATGCTCTCGAGTTGGAGAAAGTTGAAAGAGCGTCCGTGGCATGCCCGCTTCTGGGGGGTGATGACCATGCAGGCAAGGTGTTGCCTGCTTGCAGTCCGGGAGTGGCTGGTTTCTGGATGCGATTGCTGAAGCTGATGCTCTCGTTGGAGAGAGAGGTACGAGAAGGGGCGAGCTCAGCATGCGAGAGAGGGCGCGAGGACATGCCAGGGCTCTTCTCTTCCACTGGGCGACCATGCGACGCGAGGGCTCGCATTGCAGCACCGGTCTCCGCCATAGAGGATCCAACGGTCTATTCGTACCTGGTACCCCCATACCCTTGTACCTCCCATGGACCCTGGTGAGTACCCCTGTTTTTATATAGGTTTGACCCTTGACCCCTCCCAGACTTGACCTACCCCACCATCACCCTATCTCCGAGCTTTGTACCTGGATTGCCCCTTCCAGTACTCTCTTCCTGTAACAGTCGCCATGGCGAGGCGATGCTGATGCAGCCGCTGGTACGCAAGCAAGGAGAGGAGGAGACATGAGCGTATCCGAGGGCCCTCGAGGCTTCTAGGGGACGTCATCGGGCATAAAAGGTGGTAACGAGCGAGAGAGGTTTCAGATGGCACAAGTTCACTAGCTGCTCTCTAGCTGTGTTATCTTCCAGCCCTGCACGCGCAGAAATCATCGCAAGCAGTTTGACAGTCATCGGTTGAAGTGAGCAGATAAACATCATGAGCTGGGATTTTTGCAGCCCATCAAAGAATTCATTCGGGAATATCTGTGAGCCAAGGAGAACTCAGTCCGTCAAACAAGGTTTTACTTCCTACCCTCCATCCTAACCTGAATCGACTTCTTGCTACAGTGCTGCTGTCCATATGTATCCTACCCAACATATCTGCAGACCCTTATTGATGACGATTCTTGGAACATGAATTGTCTTTGCTCCTCTGAAGCAAACGTTGAGCAGAAGAGGCGGTGCCGGAAGCGAAGACGATGAATGCCTCTCTTGCCAGGTGCTCCTCTACCTCGTCGAGTGAAGCTCATGGCGTTGGCAGCACAAAACAGCCGGCGGGTCAAGGAAAGCGAGGGGGGGTCGGCATCGTATGTTGCCACGAGGATCTGAGGTGCGGCATGACCGCCTGTGGGCTGCTGGTCTCATGCCCTCGCAGTGGTGCCTTGCGAGTCATCGCTTGTGTCAAGGGCTCTCCCGCAGAGCGATCGAAGAAGATCTTTCCCGGCATGGCTCTGGTGAGGTTCTTGCTTTGCTCACTTGCATTGAGCGCAATGGTGGCGAAGGTCAAGATCGACGAGGAGCCGGTTGAGGGGAAGTCGATGGAGCGAGTAGATCCCGTGCTTGTCCCTTGCGTTGGAGTGATCCTCCTTTTGCAGATCGGAATCCTTATGGGAGGCACCATCGGCAGCAGCGTCAGGCTCACCCTGCTGCAACCCGACAAGCACCCAGTCTCCGTCACTTTGCAACGAGCGCCGTGTTGAGGCTCGAGCCGCGAAGTGAAAGGATAGTCAGATAATGAGAGCGACATTGCAATAAGACTCTAGCACTAGTGACTCTAGGATGTGCCGTATGCGTCCTCGTCCTCGTCCCTTGCTCGCGTCTTCCATCACTGGTGCCTTTCTTGGATAGGAAGGGGGAGGGGGCTACCTCGCTTGGACGAGAGTCCGGCAATACAGAAATAAAATTGAAGATTTAAAAGATTCGATGCAACAGGAACTGAAGGGGCGGAAGCTGGGGGCGGAAGCTGGGGGCGGAAGGGAGGGGAGGGAGGGGAGAGAGGGCGGGGATTGCATAGATGGCGGGGGAAGGGAAGGGAAGGGAAGGGAAGGGGACAGGACGCAGCTGACCGAAATTTCCTCGCAGGCCGTGCAAAATAATATCAATATCATCCTTGACAGGCGCTTGCAGAGCTCACGCATACAGGTCGTGGGCAGGTGCGTACAAGAAGAGTCAGGACAAGAAGGGTGGCCTTGTGAGTCTGAGGCGAGCTCCGGGCCTGTGCGAGTGGAAGAAGCCTTGCGTCTCCAAGACTCTGAGTCGATCCAAGACTTGCCATCCCTCTGCCTCCAGCTCCGACCTCCTCTGCAACTTCCAGAAAGCCTCGCTCATCAACTCTCGCATCCAGTCCACCATGGGCCGGCTCAAGGAAAGTGACCCGCTGTTCGAGCTCGTGCTCAAATGGATCCTCAGCTCCGAGTGGGACATGACTCTCACCTTGCGCGAGGCTCTTGAGCGCTGTGAAGCTTTGATCGCTTCCCACATCAAGAACCCTCTAGGCAGCGAGCTGTCTCGCAAGTGCCCTGGCATCGGCAAGTTCTTCATGGAGCTTCCTCTCACCAAAGCGCTGGACTACATCGGACAGAAAGTCGCGGTGGAGCAGAGGAAGTACGTTCCTCCAACTTTCTCCGAGGTCCGACAGATCTTCAACATAGCGCAAGTTTATGCGCTTAAAGCCGAGCCAAGCTGATGACCTTCGATGCTGACGACACCCTGTACGAGCACGGCATGGACTTGGAGCCAAGCTCGTGGCTTGTGGATGCCCTACTGACGCTGATGGAGAGAGGAATCTACGTTGCTGTGGTGACTGCAGCGGTACAGGCTTCAACTGTGCCTTCCTCCTCTCACTCTGCGTGCAGGGCTACCCAGGCAAACCAGACAGATACGCTGCTCGCTTCCGGGGGCTTCTAGAGAGAATGCAGGAGAAGAAGAGTCCCAGCAGTGTGACGAGAATGTTCTTTTGTGTTGGAGGAGAGTGCAACTACTTGTTTCGAATCAATCCCGATTACAGGATGGAAGAGGTGGTCTACCCAGCTCAACTTGCTGATGCTTAAAGGCGCATGCAGGTTGATCCTGACGCCTTTTACACGGAGACCATGAAGAGTTGGAAGCACGATGACATCGAGGAGCTGCTGAATGTTGCCGAGGCTGCCCTAAAGGAATCCTGCTCACGAATGAGGTTGGACGTGCAGTTTTTGCGGAAGGCGCGAGCAGTGGGATGCTATCCCACGAGGGCCGAGGTAATGGATATTGAATCTACTTTCTGCCTGCGTCTCCTAGCCTCACAGTTTGCTCCTGTCTTCCTGTTTCCCTTGCTTTTTTCATCTCACTCAATTTGTTTCGTCGCCTTCCTTCGCCTCGCCTTGGTCAGTTTTTTCCTCTGAAAGCTGTGAACTCTTGCAGGACCGGATAGCGTATGAGGCTCTTGAGGATGTGGCGCTGGCAGTGCAGGTGAGCGCGGGTCGCCTCCAGGAGAGACGAGGAGATTGATGTGGTTCAGGACAAGTTGATGCACTACTCCGAAGGCAGAGGCGTCGTTCCCTTCTGTGCTTTCAACGGCAATCGAGATGTAAATCGATCTACCCCTCATCAGCTCTCATGCTTACTTGGCTGGCTCTTGTTGTGTCATGATGCATCTTATTCGAGTGAAGGTGTGGGTTGACGTGGGAGACAAGCGGTATGGGATCGAAGCTCTTCTCCACTACCTCGTCAGTCTCTTCTTCTTGCTTGTTTGCTTTGTCTGACGCTGCCGACAAGAGCATCGAAGGAGAAGCCACGTGTCACATGGGGGATAGATTCACTCTCACCGGTGCTACCTCTTCGCTCATGTGTAGCTCATTGCATGAGGACAGGCAACGACAAGAGCTCAAGGGCCGTCGCCAACACTGTCTGGTAGGAAGAGATGCCGCGTCAGTCGCTGCCTGACTCCCTTGCAGGGTCACGAACCCGTCGGAGACTGAGGAATACCTCGAGCTCTTTCTCAGAGTCTGGCGATTCGCTGAGCTTGTGCTCGTCTGACTATCTTCTCGCAAGGATACTGGTGATGAGAGCTGCGTGCGGTGTGCGGACTCAAGGCCCAAAGGACCGAAGCAGGTCAGCGTCTCGAGGCTCTTGCCGGCCGGTTGAGAATGAGAGTCACGCGAGTTTGCAGGGGACCATCGAGTGGCACAAGGCGCAAATCATTCAGAACAACACCTCTGCCTAGTAGAGATCTCCAACCCCGCTGGCTGACTCCGCTGCAGCCTCTTGACGCTCGGAGTCGGCATGCAGTCAGGCACACAGCAAGTCGGAGTCGTCGGGCCCGGATCGAATCACCGGGCCGTATTCAGAGCCGAGCAGCTTTGCCACATCCCGACCTGCAGCCGCCGGGCTGGTCACTCAGACAGATAAGACAGATAGCCTAGTCACGAGTAGGGCTCGGAGCCTCGCGTGAGTCTTGCGAGTCTGTGGCCGGCAGTGACCTCAGCACTTGAGGTTGGCACTCGGACGATGCCGGGCGGCGCGCAGTGACGGTCCGACGGCACTTACTGAGGCCGCCGCATGCCTTCCAACCGTCTGCTGTGGCAATTTTCGCATCGGCGGCCTTAGTGGCTTTGAGAGTAGGAACTGAGGGGCCTTTTCACTGTCAAGTTTCGTTTTGACCGGTTCAAGTTAAAGCCTCGTGCAGCCCAGGCTCCGTGCCGCTCTGACCCAACCCTAGTACCGTCTCACTATCCGGGACTAAGTTCCGGCGACTCGTGCTACTCACCGTGGCATGATACTGCGGCAGCCGAGCACTCAGAGCACTGTGACCCAACGCGAAATGACTCACTGAAGGGGAGGAGCCATCCGATGATCCGGAGGTCTGACGTATTCGTTACAAGGTCGTTACATGTAGGAGAAGGTGTTAGATGGTCGACTACAAGTTGGGGGGCAAGGCGATGGGAAGGGGGAGGGGGGGGGAGGAGGGGGAGGAGGATCGAGACGAGAGGTGAGACGATAAGAGATGTGCCAAGTCTTGTTAGGATGTCTCGGTTTTGATTCGGAAGGTAGAGGAGGCGTCGACTCCTCTTTCACTTCGCCATCTAGTTTGTCTTGCGCTGCAAATAGAACAATGGGAAAGGAAAGGAAAGCGTGAGACAGTAGTCGCAATGCATTTCATTTCTGACTTGACGTGAGGATTCCCACAGATAGAATTGCTGCCAAGAAACGCTTTGTCGTTACATGGTTGGATAAAGCAAACGCAAATCAAGTTTGTTGTCACTCTTGGAAAGCCGTTTTATCTTCTCTTTCCTCCTAGAGACCCAGACCCTCTACAATCATTTCTAGGCTTCAGGATCCAATCATGCGCCAGCGACAAGATGTCGCTGGTGAGGTAGAAAATGGAAGTGCTCCGGATCAGGTATGCTTTCTCAATTTGCACCACGTGCTTGACGTCGTTCTGTTCAGGCATCCTTGCTGTTCAGTGGAAGACAGCGCAAGAGTCTTTGTGTGGCGTAAGAGACAACGACTGATGAAAGTAGGGCATAACAATTCACACAGATACTTTTTGCTTTTCGTTGGAGGAGTGTTCGGACTGCATTGGTGGTACCTTGGAGACTCACGCAAGTTTCAGCTCTACCTGCGGACCTTGGGCCTTTGCTTTCTCGGTGTGCTGCTAGACATGTGGGAGTTGCCATGGATTGTGGCAGAGCTCAACTCACACATCGTGTCGGAGAATGGTAAGTGATGACAAGAGATGCAGTGAGACTGACTGGAAAGACGGCAGATCTGACAGACAGAGGAGGGCAAGACTCCCCTCAGGGTTCGAATCGAGCGGCAGAAAATATTTCTACTGCGACATCAAATCGAGAGCAGAGGAGAGGGAGAGAACAACAGAGTAGAAACACAGCTCTAGGAGAGAGATCGACAGGTGGCTCCGAGCATGCAGCGGCTCCTCGTTGTGACTCTGGTACTACAGGAAGGCATCGATTAGGCCAAAGTTCTGAGCTCTCATACCTTCAAAGTTTGTTCTCCAACATCGAGCCGGTGATCAATTCGAGCGTCATCTTCTCTAACCACCAAGACAGGCGGAAGTTTCTCGTGTGTGGTCCGAAAGTCGTCGCGACCTCACAAGTGCTGTTGAAAAGCTTTCAGCGATGAGGTTCCCCTCCCACTCTCATCCCTCGCTTATTTTTTGTTTTCCTTTCCTCGACATGTGTTGATGTCTTGGTAGCGAGGCTATGCAACGGACAGTAAAGCTCGTGCACACGCCAGTTCCCACGGGCATTGGGAACGAAGCAAACCTTGACGAAGAGGTGAGCAGAACGTGAGGGCCTGAACATCAAGAGAGACTGGAGACTTTCCTTGTCTTTGCCAGTCCTTCTTCAGCATTTGTGCTTTCTTGGGGTATCAGATCGGGCTGACTCGCCAACAGGGAGTCAAAGAATGCCTCATCTGCTTCGGACGAGGGATAGATACGATTCTCCTCCCTTGCCAGCATTCTGGTGATTGATGCTGTTTCTGTGTTTGTCATGACGATGCTCAGGACTATGTGTGTCATGTGCTGAAAGTGTACTTCGAAGATCGCCTTCCTTATGCCCTATCTGCCGGTAAACATTACTAGTATGCGTTTCCTATACTGCATATCAACCTTTGGTCAGCATGGAAGTCTGTGAGGTCCTCCGCTTCGTCGGGGAGGAGAGCGTTTCCATCACCGTAGACAACAAGGGCGACAACACGTTGCCACCAGACTTACAGGCTGAATCCAACCAAGAGACATCGCGATCCTCGCCTTCCACTGAACTAGTGGAATGCTCAAACGCGGAAGCCACAACGAGAGGTCAACAATCAGATGATGACGGGGAAAGAGAATGATTAGGTGTGCCATGTACAATAGATGGGTTTGAAATCTTTAACCGTTAATCGACATCGATAAGTATTCTGAAATAAGAGTGGGGAGAGTTCATTGTACCCTTATACGCAGTCCCTGCTGCCAGAAGCAGGAAAAATATCAAATGATGCAACTATCCATCACCAAGAGGCTTTGATGAAGGTGACCCATGGTCATTGGGAGGTGAGAGAAGACGAAGTACAATGTCAAAAGATTTGAAATCTTTAAAAACCTCAAGCGAAATGCTCAATTGAAAGCATCTCTTGCAGAAAGAGTCGCCAAGACTACTGCTGGCGATAGTCGCAGTAGGTGTGGGAGCGGCCACCATCGCAGTTGTTGATGTAGCCGGTGGGGGGCATGTAGAGCTGCCAACAGACGTGATTAAGGGCATACAACACTGATCACCATCACTCACGGTGCCGTAGAAGTCATGGCCGGAACCCTGTCCGTCGAACTCTCCAGAGCCGAAGTAGATGTAGGAGGTTCCGTTGCCATTAACCCAGGACTGGGGCTGGATACCGTTGGAACCAGCGTAGCCGGTGTCGAAGGCGACAGACTCGAGGATGGAGAACATCTCTGTATGCAAGTCAGATTCTTGTTTCTAATTGAACTGAAACCATGAAACCTGCTTCTTACAAATCAACATCGTTTGTAGAGAGATTTTACACGCATGATTTACGACACTATATTCCGATGATAGATGAGCAAGCACAACAAGGATATCATTATCATTGCTGCCATGTTGTTGCTATGTTGTTGCAGATGTCATATGAGCGAAACTGGGTGACGCACAGAGTGAACCTCGTGGAGATCAACAGGCGACGTCATTTTTAACAGCAAACAAAAGCCTTGAGGACGAGGGAGATAGACGATCAGCATGGAAGAGGGTGAAGACGAAGGTCCAAGAGATAAAGAATGAAGGGGGTCAGAGGGAGGTACAGAGAAACATGAAGCCATGATAAAAGATGAGCGGAGGTGGAAATGAGGGAAGGAAACTTGAAGAAGGTCAACAGACAGTTGAGGAGGAGAGCATGAAGGGCAGCGGAGGGAGGGAGACAACACATGCGGAGGAGATCCTGCATGACCTGCTTGATACGGCGATCGTCTCTCTTCTGTTCTATTTCTGGTGCATGGCCCCTACACCCCTGGTGGGCCCTCAGAACCAGGGGAATTGAGGGGGTTAGGTAGGACTCGCCGGATGATTCGAAGATTTCAGTGATGGCCGGCAGCCTGCAGCCAAGTTGCTCATAGCCTAGTAGTAGTTAAGTGAAGATATCAGTTAAGTTTTGGGGACTGACAAGCAAAACCCACACTCAGTGACTGAGTGATGTTTAGCATTACTAAAGGCACACAGCACACAGCGATTGCTTGATTGCCTGACCCTTAGGCTGCCTGATTGCTTGATTGCCTGACCCTTAGGCTGCTTGTCTGCGCGGCTTCGCGCTTGGGCTGGCGCTGCCGCGTCTGGCCCGGTGGGTGCCAGCAGTGCTGGTTCAGTTTTGGGCTTGTGTTTTGTGCCACAGTGTGATTGTGCAGCTTCTCGCTGTGCGCTTTGTGCCTGGAGGCTTAGCTTGTTCCTGCTTTGTTTTGCTTGAGGCACTTTTACCTTCTGCCAGTAAATCCATAGACTGCTCGAGATCTCTCCGCCGCCGTGCCCAGAAGCATCCTCTGGCGACCTTTTTTTCGTTGAGGCGCACGACTTCGTTCATAATGCTGGAGCGATCCTCTGCCGTCGTGTGAGGGCTCCTGCACTGGCTGGAGATGGCGCGGCGATCCCACCTGCCCCGGCTCAGGCTGTACCCCTGTGCATTTCCCTCTTCAAACTCTACCACGCCTGTGTCAGAGCCCCACAGGAAAAAGACTCTTGAACCCCAAAACCAACAAGCGAACGCAAGTTGCCCGGGCCGGGGGTCCGCCTGGGGCAGCGGATAGGGTTGCAAACCAGGCACTGCATGTGTACCAAACAGATGCCGGGGGGCGTCCTGCGTCATGGGTCCTGTAATACTAATTTATTTGTTTTAATGGTACAAATTACAATACTTTTAAGAGTCCAGCATTTTATGATGGTAGACCCCCCGAGCCCCTCCCCCCACCCTTCAGCCCTCTCGCGACCGGCTCCTTCTGCGGCCGGCTCCTTCTCGGCGGCTGCCCTTTCTCCGTCCGCGACCGCCCGCTTTGATGCGGCAGCGGACGTCTCGACTGACAGTGGTCAGTCGGCTGCCTCCGGGTATCGCGCGGCGTCTAAGGGATTTTATTCCTCCTGCATGCTCCTGCTGCCAAGTTGCTTGCTTGCCTGACCCTCAGTAGGCTGCATGTCTGCGCGGCTTCGCGCTTGGGCAGGCGCTGCCGCGTCTGGGTGCCAGCAGTGCTGGTTCTTTTCGGGCTCAGTTGTGTTTTGTGTGTGCAAGTTGTCACAGTGTGCAGCTTCTCGCTGTGCGCTGTGTGCCTGGAGGCTTAGCTTGATCCTGCTTTGTTTTGCTTGAGGCACTTTTTACCTTCTGCCAGTAAATCCATTATACCTTCTGCCAGTAAATCCGACTTCTTTTGCTTCAAGCAAAACAAAGCAGGAACAAGCTAAACCTCCAGGCACACAGTCCACAGCGAGAAGCTGCACAAACACACACAAAACACAAGCCCGAAAAGAA